ATATTAATAAAGCAAACACTAACACTGATTATTTACTTCTTTAATAAATTTACATTAGAGGTTAGAAATCAAATAGATAGCATATTGGGAAAATCTTCACCACACATGTATTTGAGGAATGTTCTTGAGAATTAGTACTGTATGTATATATTATTGCAAGTACAATTGCAATAAGAATGTTAAACTTCTAATCTTCTGTTCATTCTTGAATTTGAAAGTAAGCTTGGCTACTGATATGAATGTAAAACTGCAGCATTACTGGATACTATTAATTATTTCTGGTGTAAACCATGATTATTTATGTCACTGATAATTTAGTTGTATGTTACGGTTGATATATGATGATTTTATATTTAATTATATTAAACAAATACAAATAAACAACTTGCTAGTATTTGTTACGTTGACAGTCGTGATAGATAATCAAAATTCAATTCAATACATCAATACGTCATTCAATACGTCATTAATGTGACAGATGTCAAACAAAAGGAGATTATACACGTTATGATTCTATATCTAAGTCTATAGAAAATTTATATAATTTTCTATTATTTTATAATAACTGTAGGGGAAATATTGGAATTATTTATATGAGAAATTTCAGTTAAATGATATGATAATTATTTAAAGACCTAATTTCTTAGGGATTTAATCATGATGATTTAAACACTAAAACACTTGTTTATCTGAGAAATCCTCTTAGTAAATAGGTTTACTAAGACACTAAAAGGAAGTAGATATAGTATAACTATAGTACAGCTACAATAATTGTATGGGACTTACTGTCCTTTCTATACAAATATATATTTAATCTATATCTTTCACATTATAATTATGCAATATATTGCCTCTACTACTACAACATACACAAATAGGACTTATTGTCCTTCCTATATACCTATATATAATAATTGACCTGGCACTTTAATGTGTAATTTATCAGTACTTATGACAACAACCAATTAGGACTTATAGTCCTCTCTATAAAGCTACATAATTATTTAATCTGATTATTTCACTATGTGATTAATCAAACCTCTACAAATATTACAAAAGATCTCTATTACTCTCAACACAATAATAGCTTGTTGGACTTAGTGTCCTCAAACTTATAGAAAACCCAACTGGTTATTTCACGAGACGTTGTTAACTTGTGATTAATCAGTGTCTTTTAAAGGACTTATAGTTCCTTTAGATATATCTCTCTGAATAAATAATTGGTTAATTCACAATGTGGTTAATCAACAATAATATTATATATAATTGACTGGACTTATAGTTCATTCAATAGCACTCATTACTTTTAGTAGCTCTCGACCTATGGGTTGGACTACTCGTTTTTAGGCTCCGGCCTAATCAACAGATTTAACTTGAACCTTGAGTATTCTTGGTATTAAGTAAATAATATTAAATTGACAATGCTATGTTATGATATAGCAATTATCAACATTATATGGCTTGGCCAATTCCAGGGTGTGGAAGGTATCCCCCCTATCACACAAATCTTCATCTCTATCGGACTGTCTTCACAGGTGATCTCTAATGTCACATTATAGGGCCGAAGGGTTATGTCCCAACAAAGTAAGTTCTGGTGTCTGGGTGATCTCGCTTCTTGGTCTGATCTCTTGTGGAGCCGAAGGGAAACCCCATTGAGTAAGCTCGTAACAGGGTGACGCTGGGAAACAGTTTCGTACTGTTAGTGGGTGATCTCTATGTCGCCATATAGGACTGAAAGGGTCATCGCCCATGAGTAAGCTCTCGTGTCGGAGTGATCCTGGGATTTCAGTTCCGATCCGTTTGCCTCTGGCAAACACTAATTTATACTGGAAGCATCGTGGGGCTGGTGGAGCCACTGTAATGTTGAAGTAAATGTACTTATGTTTGGTTTGGAACTGAGAATACTCATTCCCTTATTACCATCAGAGTGCATTAATAAATAGTAATACCCTTCCCTACCTTTTTGGAGGAAGAGTTATAGATAGTTGGAAAGTCTTCCACTGGTCCGGGCGTGTGAGGGGCCCGACCGCTCCCCCATTTTTTTTTTTTTATTACAGTTATTCTGTAATTTAATATTAAATTAACATAACCTTCTAGTTTCATGAATTATGAGTATAATTCATTAATTATTCTTAATCCTTAAAGATTTATCAATCATCTTCATTATTTAACTCCTATCATATACCAATTAAAGAACCTTTTGGTTATTACACACACAACGGGTCCTACATTACTAGACGATCACACATTTATTTATCTGGCCAAATGATCAAGTGTTCTACTAAAGATCTGTTCAATATTATGTTTTATTGTAAGGGTTTATATGATTCATAGGATATTTGGGGTGTATAAGGCAATATAGGTATGGGGTTATATTGAGGGTGTTAGGCTATCCTTTAGGGTAGGTTTTCTTTAGATTTTCATGGATTTTCATTAGGTTTAGCCTTCGTAGGCTTTTCATAGGCTTTGTAGGTTTTCCACGTGTAGGTTAGTTAAGAGGGTAGTTATTATAAGGGGTGCAAAAAGGGGGGACCATCACACGCTGATAATACATAAAAATATGATAGACATAAGTAAATGTACAAAGGCGAGCTAAACTCTAAAGAGTTCTCTTCCAGCAAATCCAATGTGGAAAGGAGAATCAATGTCAGCAGGTAAAGCGGTAATTATATTTTCTGTTATTCCTGTTTACGGCTGACTGATAGATAACGCCATATGGTGTTAAGCCCACCATTTACACTACCTAGGGGTATTAGAAATTAATAAATACATAAATATATCTCACGTACATAGGTAAAAAACTTTTCCTAAGATATCATATTGAATCTAGTTTTTAAGCGACATAAAAAAATTAAACATCTGAATTTTCTATTTTTTTTTTTTTATATATATATGACTGCGTTACCAGTACTAAAACGCTTCTGATTATTCTATTTGGAAACAATTAAAAGACAATCTACAGATGAAGTATATTATTATACATTACGTATACATTTTTTTTTTTTACTTACATGTCCACCCTTATAAACTGGACTACGATGAAGTTGCTAAAACTGATTGTCGATTTTACATTATGCATGAACAAACAGACAATACAATTCTAAATATTTTAGTTTCAGACACGCCCAAATACCTTATTGTATTGTATGTTAAAACCATTGATATACAAAACAACCAAGAGTCATAAATTAAGATCTACACGTAAAACCGTCGCTAAATTAAATTAAAAAATACTGTCATAGAACAAGAGTAAAATCAAATACTTACAGTAGTAAATGACAAACTACGCGTGAACGTTAGATTTTACCAAATTAATAAGAATATTCATTCGCATGCCTATAAAAGATTGAATAGTTATAATTGAGTGCAAAATTTTAATAACTGTGCTCTGTTTTCAATGCAGTTTTTTTAGTCATTGTATCTAGGATCTTATATATATCCATGGTCATAATATATTTTTCCGGTAGAAAATGCCATCAGGCATTAAGTCCGCCCTGTAGACATTTTGTAATGTGTGCAAAAGTATAAATAAATAATGAAATTTTTTAATATCTAATATTTATTGTTTTTAACTAATAATCTTAATCAGTAATCATGGAAGGTAAAAACGATTGGGCCTTTAGGGCCCAGCGGTGGGACACCACACTATGTAAATGATCTTATAAAAATCAAGTTACTCTGTTACACATAACTAAATATTGAAATAAAAAGTACTTATGTTAATAGTTGTAATTATCGGCACTTGGTGGTACTTTGTATACAATTTGATATTATTAGAAAACACTTTGACTCTTCCACAAAAAAGGTTTTATACCTACTAAACACCTGACCTACTTTATTACTGAATTAATTTGAAAATACCCTAAATGACGAAACTGGTCAGGTATTTATTAACGTAAAACCTCTTTTATGAAAGAATACTAGTGTTTTCGAATAACATCGAATAAAAAAACAATCTTTATGGTGAAGTAGTTTAATGTAATGCTTCACTTTCCAATTATTGTGCATTCGATCTTGGCACGCTTCTTTTTTTTAATTAAGTAAATAAAAATTATAATCTAATTAGATACTAAAAACAGGGGAGTACAAACAGCTAATCTATTTTGTTTTTTAGCAGAAAGTGTGCAAAATACACTACTACAAGAACTAACCACGAGTCTTCGCTATTAAATTCAAATTAGAAAAAAAAAATACATAGCCAATTAATTTGCAAACGTTATTTTTTTTTTCGAATTTTAGCAAATATATTTTCTTTAGTGTTCAGTGTAGAAAAATATTATATTTTATATGTCGGATTTTATTGCTGTGTAATTTGATACTTTAGCATTTTATACAAAAAAAAATAATAATTTCTTTAAATTTAAATGTGCATAACAACGAGAAAGTTTAAAATTAAAAAGTTTTTATTTTGCCAAGTTTATATCGGATGTTATTCTGCAAATGCAATGACATATTTTGGTTGTACAGTATGAAAGTGCACGTTCACAGTTAAAACAGCAAGTCACGTAATAATTCACACAACAATCCGATAAGAAACCAACGTTAGTGGAAACTATGAGGAATGCACAATGTGCGCGTTGATGTCTTTTGTATACACACCTCTTTATGCCCCGTGTTCGCTTTGTTGCCGCTATCTTATCTTTTATCTTACTTCAACAACATTTCACGTAAATGTCTCACTTGTTACAGACGCATAAAAGCTCTTTAAAGTGCTAAAAAAGCAATAAGTGGCACACGGCTAATTAAAACCTCGCTCTACCGATAAGTACTATCTCGTCGAGATATCCATTAGATTAGCTGGACATTGTAAACCTAAAACAAGTCTCGTATCGCAAAACTAAACTTTTCGACCGTATAAGTGATGTGTTACTAACATACTTCTGTTAACATAAAAATACGATTTTACACCGTTGCGAATGATAGAAACACGTTATTGTTAAATCGGTATTTCTGAAACGATAGCACACAAACTCGATTCGCACGGTGTGTACAACACTTACCTGGTTATTTTAAAATAATGAAATCCCAGCACAAGTGCACAACACTTTTGAAATTAGAACAACGAATTAGGGTTGCGCCACGCACGTGTCGATATTTCGTTGGGGCGGTGCGATCGCGATGTTGTCGCCGGAGCGGGCCGCGAGAGACTGGCGCGCCGGCGCGTCTGCTCGCACCTGCCGCCCGGCCCCCGCGGTTAGTGACAGGTGAAAAGGTGTATCGACATCGATAGTCGACACATCCTTATGTTGTGGTGCTTGATATCGGATAGTGTTTTCCGTAAGGAAAATTATTTACGACCGATATAAAGAAACCCTTCAATTCGACTGTTTTTCTATTTTATGAAATATACTGGGCAATTCTGAATCGATTTAGAACGTTCTTTATTGGAAAGGGCTTTTTTTATGGGTGAAAATGGTATGGTAACTCCGCCTGCGCTAACGGGATACGCTGGCGGAGCACCAGTGAAGGGTGATGGATGAGAGGATGAGAATGAAAACAAGCCAATTAGCCCATCATGATGAATTCATCAGGAATTAACCATTACAGTTTCCAGGGAGAACCGCGTGGAGGTCGACCTGGTTGGGTATATTGCTAACAATGGGATTCTCAGTCTCCATTACTAACAATCCCTTTCCCCCCTATTGGAAAGGGTTACTCCCGTGTCGATATAATAAACATTTCATCAAAATAGTAGTCGGTTTCTTTATATAATCTTAAAATATCCGTTGTTAGAAATACATTTTCTTGTTCATATGATACGCAGGTCCGTCTCACTAGTACAACAATTACATTAACTCTATCTCCCTCTCATTAATCACCTACTTCAGTTACTATGACAATTGCAAACTATTGTTATTATTACATGTTCAAAACTATTATCTTAAATAAAGTAGTCAGAGTTACATTACTACTGTTGTAGGGTGCGTATATTCATATTCCGTTATAGAAGGCCCACGTTTTTTTACAACACTGAGGGCAAACGAGCATACGGCTCGCCTGATGGTAAGTGACTACCGCCGCTCATGACCACCCACAACACCAACGACATTGCAGGAGTGCTGTCGACCTTTTAAAAAGAAATATGCTCTTTTAGATTAATTGTTACCGTTATTTTTCATCATCGGAATTTGATGGAAATCAAAATCAAAAATTAGTGTCGGTAAATTTGGAACTCCCGACCGTTGAAGTCTTGTCAAAGTAAATATTTTTTTTTTCTTTATCTAATAATTAAACATTTTAATGAGATAATAGAATCCAATACATCGCATACTGACTACTTAAAATACTAGCTATTTCTTGCGGTTTCGTTTACGCGTACCTATCATTATTTAAAGTATTTTACGTGTTAAGTTAGGATGTGAGTTATCCATGTTTTTTTTATACAAATTAGAATGGCAAACAAGCTGACGGCCCACCTGATGGAAAGTGGTAACCGTCGCCTATAGACATGAGCAGTACCATGGACATAACAGAGTATACTGTTTCGCCCATGATACCCCCCATGCGTCGTACGAAACTTTATTCAAATCGGTTCAGCCATTTGCACGCAATTGAAAAACAAACATTCAAACATCTTTACAAGCCTTCACCCATATATAATATTAATAGAATTTAAATTTCATTCCACCAACCCAAATAACTTGTTTGTTAAATTACAAATGAAAAGTATTTTAATACTATAAATTAAATCATTGAAATATAAGATAATTTATCATCATGTCATCAGTTTATTTGAACTCGAGCGAATAACAGAAAGTAAGACATTAAGCCAACTAACGTACATAAATAACAACTTGATATATTCTCCCCTGAATTGCTCAATGGAAAACACACAGCATAATTATTTCTAATGAATATCACTCGACCAACGATTACCGACGATCATTTTATCGAAACCGCGAAAGTGTAGGGGACCGCACTAACCACGTAGGAACAGCGTACACCGACTGATCAAATTAATTACCTCATCTTGACGCGACGCTCTCAATCCAAACTGTGCAACTCACTCTTTCACTCACCAAAAAAAAAAGTCGAAAGTTAGTGATGCAATTCATGTGACATTTTTTATCAAATCTTTCGAATAATCAAAAATCGGTATGATTCGATTTCGTATTAGTCACCGTTACTGCTTTATTATCTATGGAGACTCCTACGGAAGTTACTATTTTTTTAAATACATATATAAATATATATAATAAATATATTTATATTAACTGGTAACTGATAGTGAAATAATATTTGCTAGTAAAGGACTCCTCCTTAACTTTAAACTTCAAAATGCTTAGCTGGTTTTCTAGAAAAAAATCTAAATTAATTATATAAAACTATGGGTATAACCCATAGTTTTATATAAATTTTATATAAAAAATTAAAGTATTAAAGTTTTATATAAAAATTAAAATAGTACATAAACTAGGAACATCTATTCTTGGATAGAAAAATGCCGTTATTTGCAAGAGACTTATCATAACGGACTCTTGTGTTTTATAAATGGCAATTCTATGCATGTTGGTTTGAGTAAATTTTGTGCAAGTATTAATAAGAATGGCCGTGTGGTTCCGGCATAGAGAAGGCTACTCCTTCCTTTCCCGTGGATGTCGTAAGAGCCGACTCAGGGAGGGCGAGGGATAGACAGCAGCGTCCCTCTTAAAACATCTCTAAAGCCTGACTGCGATTGCCAATTCGCCTGCTAAGCGTGGTAACTACTGGCAAACCCCCCGAAAGGGGATGCTTATGTTAAACAGTGGACAATTAAAGGCTGACATGATGATGATTAATAAGAATAAGGTTAATTCACATTGACTTGACTCCGCTCAAATTTTCCAGATTTACGTTAAGAGGTTAAAATATTTTTATTTTAACCTCTTAATATAACCTTAACGTAATCTTAACGTAACGTGAAGTTTAGAAAACTTGTGATCAACTTTTATTACTAGAAAGAATAAAGCCATATCTTAATACTGAAATTTTTATCAGATGATATGGTTTTAGTAATGTTAGAGTTATTTTAATCGAGTACATAATTTTTATGATTCGAACTAAATACACAAATTAGTCACAGTCACATCTCTAGACGTATATCTGTCTCGTTCTGTTTAGTATAAAAAAAAATGCTTAGAACCTTTGGCGGCGCGTGCCGAATATGAAGCGACGATTTCAACTGTGCTTGTGAATGAACGAACGGTCGGTCCCGTTTGATGTGTGTATAGCCGACCACAAAACTAAATCACCTACCTACTCGTATAACAAACCCTATTACTACCTTATAATAAGGTAGAAAATGTATTATAGTTGCAGCCGTACCATTGACAATTAGAGATATGACATGACGGTATAAGTAAATAAATAGAGGTTATATTCATAGAGACAACAGTATGGGGTTCTTCAAAGAGGGTGCTATTTTTATAAAATCTTTATCGTAGATAATTTATATATATTGGTCACATTAAAATATTTACAATGGCGGGTATATTCCATAATAAGATGTCTTACAGTCAACTTTTGAGAAACCGAATGAAAACTATAGAATATTCGAGGTTTAAAATTGTATAGCTAAAAAAGGGTGTATAAAGGTTTTTAGAGTCGGCAACGCGCACGTGACATCCCTAGTGTTGCAAGCGTGGATAAACTACAGGCGGGCTGTATGCTTGTTTGTCACCGTCGTAGTATATAAAAAAAGAAATAATAAAGAAATATTGCACGTTAACAAGTATATTTCAGCCAAGCACTTAATGTATCGCTATGGCTACATCGCATTTCTGAATTAATTGTATGCCTAGTGTATTATTTATAGAATTAATCATCGATAAAAAGTGTTATATATATATACAAATAAATATTGATTTCGTTACATATTATTTTTTTTGCAAGTGACTACCGTGGTGGCGCTAGTCACTTGAACTACATGAACGATGGACCGAAACACCGGAAGAATTGTAGTTCCTCTTTCAATGACAAAGTCAGTCTATAGGCTTTTGTAAAGTAATGGATAAATAACTAAATGGATAGTTAACGGTTGACATGATAATAATGATGATGTAGCTGACATAGTACGATCGAACACTGAGAATAGCACCATAATATGGTTGTCTCTGCGTTCTCATAGGATTGTGCGGTCACAAGTTAATTAGTAATATAGACTTACAGTCCCATTCCTAACAATAGTAATTCTGTCAGGTTAATCACTCGAGAACCATTCTTCTCCATCAGTTGTCGGTTCTTCGAGTTATATAACTAGCCTATTGCCATTGACACATGAGAGTCACATTATCACAGATAAATATATATTATGATTATCTTAGCAGTTTGAGTTTTTTTATGCACTGGAATAATAAACAAGCTGATAGACTATTTGATGAAATGTGCCAACTGTCACCTATATATAGGTATGAACACATAAGCATTAAGTACATCTCATAACTAAATAAAATTTAAACTACAAAAGGATAAAAATAATAAAATCGTAATAAAAGTATTAAATATATTTTATGTATGTATAATACTTACATATAAACTATTTACATGATATCACTAAATTTACCTTAAATTTATATATAAAAAAAAAAAACTTCTTAACTTTAAACTATGAATTCTCGGTTTCTTTGTATCTGTAAAGAAAACATAAGATTAAATAGTAACATAATAAAAACACAAAAATGATCAACTCAAAAGTTGACATATCTTTGTAATGGTAGTGAATCACCCATTATTCTCTTCTAACTGCTTGTAATGTAAATTGAACCCCATTTTTCTAGCTAAGCCTCTCATTTATGCCATTGTATGTTCTAACTGATTATTATTAATTATATATCCATTATTTGTTCAGTGCTGAACTATGTACAGCTGCACACTGTCAAGCTTGTGCTCACATCACACTCGCTTATGACTATGAATCATGAATTGATCCATGAAACTAGTTGAGATTTTCAGTCTAACTGCATGTAATTTAAACTGGTAGTTATTACATTAAAATCAATATTGGATTTTATTCACATTCACCCCAATGGCAATAGTTAATAAATGCCTCTGGCTATATCATTAGGTATCATATCTAATGTATAACCTGCCATAGTTTTATCATCAATTACCAATAATAATTACATAGAAAAATACATACTTGCAAGATATACATGTGTAGAAGACAGTCTGCCCTTCATCAGCTGATCGTAACTGTAGTGTTGCATAGGACATTCTCTCACCACCACATTTCGGACACTTCCTCTCAACAACAGGCCCCTCAGGATTATCCATGTTTACTATATCCTTGTGATTCTCTAAAGATACTGAATTGAAATGTATCGTGTATTGGAACTTGAGGTTGTTAAAATCTGAAATAATTAATAAAAATTTACTGAGAAATTTGTTAAAAAATATACAATATACATACAGTCTACAATTGAAGTATTTATTTATATATACATAAAACTAGAAATCTATCAATCTACCCAAGTTAGAGAAGGACAGAAACTAAAAATTTTGAATCTCCCATAAGTTAAGACTTAAATCTAACTTAAGAACTGGACACCATGTTAGTTTGAGAGGCGCAACATTCAGTCATTGTTCAACCCGTTTCTTGGTGAAAATATTTAGTTTCACTAATGGATCTTTCATTTCATTCTGTATAAGAACACTAATATTTTTTTATATACCTTTTTATACCATGAAGGTGGCAAGCAAGTACAACAGTTTATATATTATCACTGGATTATTTTTAATAAGGATTTCTGATAATCAATATTTTTTAATATCTCTATGCCTACCCTAATGGGAGACAGGCGTGACTGATATGTATGTATGTATGTATGTACAATCTCTCTCTCTCTCTCTCTCTCTCTCTCTCTCTCTCTCTATATATATATATATATATAATAAAGATAAGTTGTCATGTTTCTTTAACCTATATACATATATGTTATAAAAGAATAAACATGTGTATCCTTACTTTCAGCACCATAAATTTCTTTGCAGAAATAGCACTTCACAAACCCAAATTCCTTGAGTAGAGGCAAAATCGACCCACACCGGGAGCAAAATGCTGTGCTACTTGAAAACACACCTGCCATTCTGTAGATGATAAATTAAATATAATATTAATTTCATTAAAAATAACATTTACTACAAATTAAGTAGATTATATTCCTATTAGATACAAGTAGGATTTCTCGATTACCAATCAGCATTATCACCATATCAGCCCTTAACAATCCATTGCTGTACATAGACCTCCTCGATAGACTGCCTTAAGGAATGGTCCCGAGTCACCTGCATAGCCCTTGACTGGGGGACATTTTTTTCCTATGCTATTGAAGAGTTTTGCCAATAGTTGCCACACTTAGTAGGAAAGTTGAGAACCACATTTCAATTTTGATGAAGTTTTAAGGAGACTGCTGTCCATCTATTGATCATTATATTCTTTTAATAGCCTATTACAATACCTAAATATAAAAATACATCCGAATATACAATAATAATATTTATTTATTTAGACAACATAAGGCCCATTTTATTAGTTATAAATTTACTTAACCTAGTAACATAAATGAGTGGTCATGACACTCTTGCAATGATAACCTGTCCCACCCAATATTTTAGAATGGGACAGTCCATTTTACCGGCAATTATCTTTTAACGAAAAAATTTAGTCTATTAAAAACAGGACTTTATAAGGACATAATTGACAAATTTCTACTCTAAAAAGTGCCATCTTTGTCACTCCTATCTACTGATATTTCAGCAAGCTAAAATTATCAAATTTACTAAATTCAATAATAACTACTGACTGAAGTTATCCAATTAAAAATATTTACCATAAGGAATGTGTGTACTAAACTGAAACCAAGTAATAATGTACTGTTCCACCTGCGATACCGGTATACACTTGCAGGACACTAGTGAGATGAGAAATGATAGTAGAGGATGAAAGCAGATCAATCAGCCCTCTATTTTATTTACCTACATATAAAATTTATCCGTATTTCGTAAAATGACACGAGATAATTTAGGGAGAACGGTAAATTGTATTTACTATTATGCTTACCTTTAATATCTGATAAATTAATATGTGTTCCTTGGTCAATGTGGGAAGTAATACAAACAATAATAATAAAAAAACTCGATTAAATGTAAAATTAAACACAATAATAAATAGAAATAGTTATAAAGTTTCACTTATAAACCAAATAATACTCATAAAATACCACGTTTTTTTGACATTTTAAGATCTTTACCGTTGTTTGACAACTATGACAATCAGCAGTAATCCTATGATATTGACATTTAGTATAGAATCGATTAATTAATCATATTTACTCGTTAATCATTTGAATATAATATTATTGATTATAATATTGTATTTTTAATTAAGTAAAACAATTTTATAAACCTATTTTGGTTCATAATATTTGTCCATACTATAATCACTGTCAAAAATCCAATATTACTAAATAAGCCATTTGATTAAGAGCAGATTACTACGCGCAAGGAATATATTTTCTAATAAATAACACTGTATTTTAATTTATTTTCGGGAGGCAACGTACTACGCAACAATAATCACGGTAAAATCACTGGAAGATTTGAATACTTTCCTCAATGATCTCAATAGTATTTCTTAACAAGTAGCTTTTAAGATGAACACGGACAAATCATATTGAACGTTCATGTCATATTACAAAAAACAGTTAATTAATTTTTAATAGTTATTTTCAACAGTTAATTAAGCTTTAAAATCATTAAAGTATACATTAACCGAGTAAAAACATTCTTCTATTCGTCACCTTTTTAGTTTCTTTTAAATATATTTATGGATAGTGTTTTCATTTCGTTCGTTAGTTTATTATAAATGCTTATTATCATACAGTAGGCATTTCTGCTATATATATATATTTCTTAATAACTGACGAAACATGAATAACATGATGGAACAAAAGTTATTATAAATACGTTTATAGTATTTGAGTATCTATAAATAATATAGGATATTGGGTGGAAAGGGATTGTTAGTAATGGAGACCAAGAATTCCATTGCTAGCAATATACCCAACCAGGTCGACCTCCCCGCGGGAACTATTATTGTTAATTCCTGATGAATTCATCATGATGGGCTAACTGGCTTGTTTTCATTCTAATCTATCACCCTGCATTGGTGCTATGCCAGCGTATCCCGTTAGCGCATGCAGGATTACCATTCCATTTTCACTCATAAAAAAATAAATAAACATAAGATATTAGTAGAGTCAGTCTAACTCGTAAGTCAGCACTATTTTGTTTAATACACTTTTATAGTGTCACAACTTATCTGTGAACTGATGGGCGTCGCCATCGTCGTTTCAGTGTTGTTAATTAATTCCAATGTACATAAAAGTCCGGAAAGTTGAAATTTTTTTATTTATATTATTTAGTTTGTATTTACGATAAATTGTATGCGGCATTACCAGATTACATATATTATTCGCAGTTTTGGGTTGAAATTTTTAGGTAATCAAAATTATGGATAAATGAAATTTTTGAAGACTTGTGAGATGAAAATGAAAATGGCCTTGAGATATCTTAATTTTTTATTAAAATTTTTGTACAGTAACCTATAAATACTGTGAAATACATTAATGATGATAACAAAACATAGATAAGTTAAGCATAAGGGACGATACTTTTCGGTTTATTTTGTAATTACATGGCAAAACATAATAAAAACAGTAGATCGAGTAAAAATGAATGAAGTCGTATCAATTTGGAGAAAAATATTTCGTATTTAGGTAAAAATCAAAAATAGCATCTGGCAACTCCGTTTTTGTGTTTTTTTTTCGAAGCTCTGTACATGTAGGCTCTGTAATCTGTGGTGTAAGAAAAAACCTAAAATATTATTTTTTCTTTTTAAGTGCTTATAAAATTTTATTAAATATTTTGACTATTAAACTTTTTCCAATAAAATTTAGGTAAGTACTTGGTTAGTTGATACTTTTAGATAAGCTTGTTGCAATCTATACTTGGTATATTAATAATTACAATGCTAAAGTAAATTGTTATATTTTCTTATTTATACTGAAATTTTGGCGGCTTCTAACTTGGTTTATTGAGTATCCTTAGGTATTATACTATTATTATATCACACTGCGTAGCTTTTCTATCAGTTATCACCCCTATAAAATATTAGAATTTAATACATTATCAACCGGCTTCAAAAAGGCGGTTCTCAATTCGGATCTATTTTTTTTATTTGTTACCTCATAATTCTGTAAATTGTGAACCGATTTGGAAAATACTTTTTATCGAAAAAAAAAATATATTTACAGATTGGTCCCATAGAAGTTTTATCAAAATCGGTTCAGTTGTTTATTTTTAAAATAACTGGTTTTATCACAATTTAAGACAGTTTTCTTGTGAAATAGAATCTTAATTGTTAATTTAAAAGTATCAATAACCAGGAAAAAGTGTATACTAAATTTCATAGTGATTGGTTTAACAATGTAGGTTCTAAGAGTTAGCAAACAAACAAACTTGTTTTCACATTTAGGATTTGGTGATGTTTTAGGAGGAACACTGTTGCCCATCCTGTGACCATTAAGTTCCCTTAGTTGTCTCTTATAACATCTGTGGGAAAGAAAGGGGTAGCCCATTCTATGCCATAACCATATAGCAACCTGGCATGGCATAGCAATAATACAAGTAGTCAATATTTCAGAATACTAAAATGGATGAAACAATGGAAACATCAGATTTAAGTTTTAATCAAACAACTCCTTCGATGAATGGTAACCAGTCTATAGAGGGTTCAGCACCTGTTGCCGTTGGCCCTCAGAGTGGAAAGCATGAGGAGTTCTCAGTGGAAAAAGTTCTGGACAGAAGAATTAAAAATGGAAAAGTTGAATATTTATTAAAATGGAGAGGCTACTCCAAGTAAGTGACAAATTATATTTTATTTTTGTTATGTATTTATTAGAGATGTCTAATGACAGTTGATATTTGGTGTACTGAGGGTAAAAGATAAATAAATCAGTTTGCTTATAATCTCAACTTGGATGTATTCTTTAATTTTAATTGATTGTTTTTAGTCCTCTGAGGACTTTTAATTATTTATAATATAATATCATATAAATGGCACTCCTATGATATTATTTTATAAATCCATTTTACTGTTAGTTCAGAAAGTAGACTTAACCAAGAATTGGATGATAGATATGAATTGCTGTGATATGAATTTCTTGAATGTGTAATTTCAGTGAAGATAATACATGGGAGCCAGAAGATAACCTGGACTGTCCTGAACTTATTTCGGCATACGAGGAGGCCCGATTGAAACGGGAAAGGGAAGCGCCTGCCCCTGTTGTTACAGAGCCACCACCAGAAGAAAATCAAAATGTACGCAAAAGAGGCCGGAGAAGCGAGAAGAAATCCAAAAAGATTGAAGTGAGTTATTTTCTTTGAGAAGTTACGTCTAAACATAATTGCAAAGTATTGCTATATTTAATGTTTATGTTTAAAATAAGCATCATATTTAGTAGAACTTAGTAATTAAACTGACACACAGTTTATTTACTAATTTCTAAGGAATGTCTTAATTGTTAGGGTTTCATAGGAAAATAGTACAATACAAAAATGCTTTTATGCTGTGTCTTTTTCCATCCGTCTTTCTGGTACTGTTTTATATCTCAACAGTTATATAATTTGGGTATTGTCAGTGCACGTATATTCTAAAAGAAATGAAAAAAAAATTTGCTAGAGGGTCCAAAAAGGTAACTGTAAAGTTTAGAATAATTCTACTAATTAAAGTGCATCATTATATGAGAGAGATTATTTGTACATTTCAAAACTGTTTTTTAATTATATTTATAGGTTTAATTTATTTAAGTTAAAACAAAAAAATATTATTCCCTCCCCTTTTTTTCTCTTATGTTCACAAAACGAATAATTACAGTTTATAAAGGTATATGTATATTAAATTTTCATATTAAAAATGGATATATACATAGTATCAAGTCCAGGATTGTATAAATGTACAGTCCATATCTATAGACGTTTAGTGGCTGCTTTCTATTAGTTCCCGTTTGTCTGCCATTTATGATAGCATTATATCTAAGAGTTTTTTGTTAGCTGATTAACAGTTTACTGTTTTAAATAACACAAAAGGCTTTATCTAAGTTCTTCACACAAACATTTTCAGGAAATTGATAAACCTCGCGGCCTTGATAGGGGCTTGCCTCCAGAGAGGATATACGCGGCACAATTGCACCATGAAGTTCTATATTTTCTAGTGAAATGGTAAGTTGCTGTGTTGCTTCTTGTAAGCTTGGAAACATTGTAAAATGTTTACCATTACCAGGGAATAAATTAATCTGTCCTTCTTCATCCCAAACATACACACTCTAATTAGTCAAATTTCATAATTTGTTGAGCTACTGAGGTGTCAGTGTATAATAAATAAACTTTAAATAGAAAAGTGGATAAGCGTAAAAGAATCAGATTTGTATAACTATGTCAATTTGTATAATAATCTTCGATTTAATTTACATGGTATCTAAAAGTACTAAATGATTATCATTTTATTTTATTGCATTTTCTATATTTTTAGGCAGGACTGCATTGAGTTGGATGTAGTTCCAGGGAAAGATTTAAGCCGGGCATATCCTGAATTCGTCATTAGATACTACGAGAGCTGTGTACCATTTTCTGTTCGGCATAAAGTTGGAAAAATCCCAAGAGTGGCTCCAGAGGTATGTATATTTACATAAATATATATTGTTTTAAAAGAAAAACAACTATTCTAAAATTTTTAGTTTAAAAAATAGACTTGGGTAAATAACTTGTTTGTAACTTTACCAGGCCATAAAGATACAGAAAATTGCTAGTAAATAATAATAAATCTGCTCGTATATCTCTGTCTCACTGTTTGTGTACTGAACTCGCAGATTCATTTGATATTTTAACAGTATTGACTATTACTGATGAATGAATAATAATACATACTTACATAATAAAAAACATAATTTTTGTAAATATATTATTCTATGTGTATGTATGTTCATTCATATTTAAATGTATTAATGTTATTATTTATCGAAATATTTATTTATTTACAAATTGATTTTGTTAGACCAATGCACCAGCCATTTACTCTGTTTAACGTAAGGGTTGACTGGTAGGGAATGCCATTTGGCATTGAGTCCGCTTTACAGACATGTTTCAATGTGTGCAAAAGTATAAATAAATAAATAAAATTTGTCAAATAATTAATTCACAGTTGTTGCAGATAATATAATAAATACATATTATAGTGTCATTGGCCCTTGGTATCGTAAGCATCTTATAAAGAGCATAGTGTGAATATTGGTAAACCGTTTTCCTTTCAGCTCCCGCTAGAGCCATCTCAAGAAAGCGAAACATCAATGAATATTTCTCAACCTGAAAATGATACTTCTGCTTCAAATCCCTCACAAGGTAAATAAATATAATTGTCTTATACATACATTTTTAAACAATAAATATGTTATTTATGATTCACATTTCAATATTTATTGTTTAAAAATTCCGTACAGAATCCTTTCTTGTTCAAAACTGTTTTTACCCTTTTAAGTATGGGATATACACTTTTCTCTCCCGTGGGTGCCACTAAGGGAATTTAATAGGAATGGGCAGCAGCACCTCTCTTAAAACTTCACGTTTTTAATTGTTAGTAACCTACCCGTTACTTCCATTGCTAGCTATACATTGCTTAGGTCAAGTTCTACGCGGTTCCTTTTGGAACCCATAGTAGTTGATTCAGCAAACTGCTCTGACTATTATCCTTTCATTGTCCACTGGTCCTTTGACATTAATAGCATAGACGGTTGCACCATTCCATCTTCATCCATAAAAAAAGTAGGCTTTTCAAGACATTTAAAATATTTTTTATATATTTTAAAATAGTGTCCCCATTATATTTTGTATATGGCAACCTCTCTTCCAATAAACGGGCGATTCGAATGGACGTGTTTTCATTTACTTCGACCGTAAAGAATATTCCTGCTCGTTCCAAGGTAAATAAAGTACATACATCCATGTCTGATCTTTCTCTAATGTACCTTTTTCAGCGGACATCCCACAAAAGGCATTACCATCCGCTGATACGGAGAGTCATTCAATGGAAGTTGCAGTTAATTGATCTTCGTTCTTACAACGCTACCAATAGTGATTACTGAACTTTATGTCTTTAATAATGAAATTATTATGGTATAAGAATGTAGGTTATGATAAAATTTTAAATGAATGATGAATTGAAATACTTAAATTTAAATTTGTTGATTGTTGTATTTTGTTAAACGTGTCTGTAAAAGAATGGCGCTCAGTATAGCGCAGATATATTGAGTGCCGTTCTTATTCTCGTATTAGTGATGGCGACAGAAAGAATTGGATGAGCAGATATCAGAATGTCATCATAACAAGCCATGACCATCCCACTCATTTCACGAGATATAAAAGGTTATTCTACTATCACCACTTTATTCAGGCAACTCGGTTTTATTTATAATATTTTTCAATACTACTTACTGGGTACAGAGGAATAACACCTGAGTCCTCAGGAATGGCAACGCATGGGGGGTATCATAGGCGAAACAGTATACTCTGTTATGTCCATGGTACTGCTCATGTCTATAGGTAATGGTTACCACTTTCCATCAGGTGCGCCGTCAGCTTGTTTGCCATTCAAAGTTGTATAAAAAAAAAGCTAATCAAGTTTAGATGCAATTATTACAGAAACGCTCTTAAAAAGATATTAGTAAACATCGAAATATTTAGTCAATCTATTATTTACTTGTATTACTATTGGTTTATTCGTCGTTTTGTCCCTGATTAGAATGAGTCACCCCTTCCTTTCCTATGGGTGTCGTAAGAAGCGATTAAGAGAACATAATGGTCGAGGGACGGGCAGCAGCGTCCCTCTTAAAACATCGGTAAATTCTAACTGCGGTTGTTAACCCGCCTGCCAAGCGTAGCAATTACTTACCCCTCCCCCGCCCCTACCATGTGGTGGAGACTTATGTTCAGCAGTGGACAGTTGACGGCTGATATGATGGACATCAGCAAACTGTTATATGATTGGGTCAATTTTTTTTTAATTTTTTTTTTATGTTTTAGCATTTAATTGGGTCAATTATATGCTTATTTATACTTTATTTTTTTATAAAAACAACTTTTTTGTACTGTATTGGTCTGACAACCGCTATTTATGATGCGAGATGATAGAAGTATTGACACATTGTATCCCTATTTTGTTAATATACCACAAATTGTATCTTTCAACAAACAAATTTCTGTACCAACAAACATTACGATTGTTTATAACTTTTGGTTACCAAAGTGTGGCAACGTTTCGATTACTTGTAAATTTTCAAAAACATTTGAAAAATATTCTGTTTCTGATTAATTATTTAAAAAGTACTCTGTGTACAAATATAAATCGTTAATTATATAATATGTTGCATTAAAAATTGTACCTAATTAAATTTTTGCTTTGGAATTTTTTAAATAAATTTTTGCCATTGAAATCTAAATTTTCAGTGACAACGTAATAAGTTATTATTATTGCATGATTAAGGTTTAAATCAGAGTAGAGTATTATAAGCAGAGTAGTTTTTAAAGAAATTATTTTTGAAAATTGATAGATAATCTTTACTATGATCTATCTTTATTATAAACGCTTTTAATGTTGTGTTTTTTTTTTAACACTTTATTCTGTTCTTTTTTTTATACTTGGTACGATTCACCAATAACACCAAGATTTTGTGTGATTTACCATCGATTTTTAGTATACTTTATTTTAAATTGGTAATTTAATAAAATAATCAAAAAATAAAAATATTTCATATTTATTTTATGCACAATATTATTTCGGTAAGGGAATATTAAGATTATTAATTGTGCCAAGTAAATATAAATAATTTGTAATGTAATGTAATTAATTACTTGACAATAAATTCAAATATTATACTCATTATTTTTTTTTCGATGTACGACTCATTCATTTTAATTACATATATGGATCTAAGTGCATGGTTGGTTTAAATATGTGAGTACTTTATATTTATTATGTAAAGAGCTACAGAGTTTGTTTTATAAAAAGTCTTTATTTTTTAATGATGTAATGTAGATATTTGGCTAGTTTTAATGTGTATTCAGTAATGAAAGAAATCCCATTTCAAAATCATGATATAATAATATTTTTATACATTGTAAATTGAATTAAATGTTTAATTAAATTATTTATTTTATTTTCGTTAGTTTTGTAGCTATTATCTATTTGCATTGCATATATTACTCATGCTACTAGACCACTGATTACTTTTTTTTGCGACTACATATATATTCCCTATATATACCCCTTTTTTCATAAAAATTTAAATCTTTAAATTATTATATTAACTGTTGGGATGTTTTGTAACATTTTTTTGTAATTAGGTATTTAACGCAAAATAAAAAGACAAAACACTTCAATAGCTAAAATAAGTACACGAGGTGTTTAGTGTTTTTATGAATAAGGGAGACAGTGCATAGAAATTAGACTCATAATATCAATACTATAATGGTTTTCGCTATACGTTTTTTGTATTGTGGGGATAATAAATCCGTAGTCACCAGGCGAAGCAGCATATTTGCTTCACCATTAGTGTTGCAGTCCTCACCAATAGATTTCTAATAATATTATGAATGTGAAAGTTTGTAAATATGTTTTGGATATTCTTGACTCAATCACGATTAAACGGTTTTGAATGAAATTTATTACACGGGTAGGTTATATACGAACTTAACACACAAGATACTTTATATACTGTTTCACGCGGACAAAGCTGCGGACAACTGCTAGTATAGAATAATGTATACTTATTTTGTACATTACGTGTCTATAATAACTTCTATACGATTCTGAAATAATCTATGGAATTTTTAATTTAGCCACATCATGAAAGGTGATTTGTTTTTTTAGGTGTGTGTGTTTTTCATAGTAAATACTAACTATGGTGTTCTTTAAATACCTATATGAAATTGGAAGGAAGTAAGTTATTAAAAATAAATAAAAATGCGATATTTTACACATATGTTTATTTTATTTCTTATTTAGGAATATTCTTACGATTAATCCCTGTAAACTAGGTAAAAAAGTATAAACAATACTGGGCTACAAATTAAGTACTAAGAGTATCTTACGCTTTGGCACGGTATCGGAGATTTCATCATTCGTCGAGCAAACTTCATGTACAAACGTATGCGCAAGTTGTAAAGTAACAATTTCATCACATCTATATTGGGTATGTTAACATTAGTTATTTGAGTTTTTTTTTTAATATAAATTACCTACGTAAATATTTTTAAACTTTTAATCTATGATAATTTATTAAAATATAATTTAAATTGCAAGCTATTGTTTGTAAATAAATAAATCTGTTTGATCAATCTTTAGAATATTACACATGCAACATATCGTCATACTAGGAAGTCTGCGACATTTTCCCCGGCTTAAAGTTTGTTAAGGAAAGGAGAGATTGACGCGAAGTTCTCGCATTCAGGAATGAGTTTGCCTTTGAACTTGATGCATGATTCTGCGCAAAGTGGCCCGTCGAACCAGGCTCCAAGCATCTTCTTGCACTGCGCGCAGTTCTCAATGCAGATTTCCATAGGATCATACCCGGTAGCTGGAAAAGATTGCAAAAAAATAATAAGTCTACGAAATGAATGAAAAAATATATATATATATATATATATATATATTTATGATATCACAGTTTACTTATTACATATTATATATACAAATCAAACTATGCAAACAGTGAACATGAAATAAGAAGGTATAAAAAGTGTCATGAATGTTTTATTCAGTTGAGGTAATCCTTAACGCCATTAACGTTCCTTGAGATATAACAATCTCTTGCACCTACTATTTATTGATCTTTTATAATATGGGTTACATTTTAATCATAATGGCAATAGTCGAAAAATGGCCTCCAATTGCCTCTATTGTTTTTTTTTTTTTTGATGGGTGAAAATGGTATGTTAATCCCACCTGCGCTAACGGGATACGCTGGCGGAACACCAGTGAAGGGTGATAGATGAGAATGAAAACAGGCCAGTTAGGCCATCATGATGAATTCATCAGGAATTAACCATGATAGTTTCCAGGGAGAACCCCGAGGAGGTTGACCTGGTTGGGTATATTGCTAGCAATAAGATTCTCAGTCTCCATTACTAACAATCCCTTTGCCCCCACATCTATTGTGTGTTATGGTCATTAGCATATTTTTTAATTTATAATAGATTAATTTTGTTTAACGTCTAAGAGTATCTGAAGAATGTGTGACTCTTCATATTAATTCAGCAACATTGATAAATTGTTCGCTATCGGCCGTGGTGCGTACAGCGTAAGAAGGTATTTAGTTATCTACCTATAGCATATCTGTGTAGGGTTGACGCGGCTTATGAGAAAGTTTATGATTTAAATACCACTGGGCTTGTTGCATTGGTTCCATGTATGCCATCTATTCTATTTAAAATTTGTATACTATGAGTTTTGGATAACTGATGAAGAAGAATGATTTGCGAATTCTGCGGGTCTACCATGAAATGAAATTTTGAAATTTCGGACTTAATTTCGTGTTTTTGTTTAGGTATACCAAAATCGGACCAATAAATGGAGTTTAACATTTCGTCATACATCCTATCAAAAAAGTCCAAAGGAACAATATTTTAACATTTTTAATATTTTCAAACGGCATGTATTATGTAATTTTAACATCAAATTTGTGTTTCGTTTGGCTCTGAAATTTCGGAAAACATTTCATGGTAGGCCCTCTGATTACTTACAAACGAATGCTCTGTATGACAATCCTTCATAATATGGAATGAAGATCTCAAAAAATGTCGCGCGTAGCGTAATTTATAGTGAAAATTAGATGATGGATAGTTGTAGTGACAATGATTACTACTCGGACAATGGTGAGGGTGAGTATTGAAAGTTTTTATGCCGCCTCTATTGTACACGAAGGTTTTTGATATGGATTAAGGGACGATCGCTTTCCAGAACATGAAACGAGTAACAGTCACTCTTAAAATGATCCAAAAATAAATTAAAAAATTCAAAGGTTTTTAGGCTGAGAAACAATTTTGGGATTCCCGGGCCTATCATCGGTTTATGTTGAATAAAATATATATAGTTAAAGTGATGACGCTAATAATCAGATTTGAACTTTTTGACAGCCCTATTATGTCCATTGAGCGAACTGTCATCGCGAGGTCAAGTGTAAGCGACTAAGGTGAATTGCGTAACAATACACGGCGAAAGTAAACCGGCCAAATCGCGGATTGGGGTCATTGCCTCGGTTAACATGCGCGTCTTCGGTTATACGAAGGCCCTTTTTACATTGATGGTTTATGGTTTTCCAAAGTAAAAGTCAAATAAATCGTTCCTCGAATAAATACGTGACTTTCAGCTTGAATAGTCATTAGGTGTCCTCCGTTAGCATACTATATAGAAAAGCTATAGTATCTACCTAATATAGATAAATGTACGGATGGATAGTACCTATAGATTTGCATTTTACAATATTCCAGTTTTGTATTAAAAATACATATGGGAAAGAAATAATCTGAAATCCAGTGATAAGTGTCCACTGTACTGAAATACAAAAATTTTTTGAAACTTACATTCCAAAATAATTATATTGTGATAGAATTTTTATATACCACGTATATGGCAAACAAGCATACAGCTCGTCAGATGGTAAACGGTCACTGTAGCCTATGAACGCCTGCAATACTAGAATTGCCTGGATAAAATATTTTATTTTTGTTTTTCTATACGCATAATAGATATACTTCTAAATATTCTGACACGTTAACCCGTATTGATATTAAAGCTCGAAATGATGTGTAATGCATGTCCTGTATTGTACACACTAATTTAATTAGTATTTTAGTATGAATTCACGGTTACTACATATACTATATGCTATTCGTATATAAATCTATTGTATCATTATATACACAATGCATTAACAGTTTACAAAATTACAAGTACGTAATTAATTTAGCAACCAACACATATAGGAAAAACTGACGCTTACTGTCTATCTAAAATGTAGCGTGGATGTACTGGTACGACGGAATAACAACCAAATGTTAATATCAAAATATTTGTGTAGTTACTGTATGACACAATAGTTATTTTAAACTATTCCTAGATCTGTAACAGCGAAATGCAATCCAATGATTAATTACGAAAACTCCAGAATTAATTACACAATTATGAAATTGTGCAGAGATTTTCTCCTAAAACGTCCTTATCCATCATAAGAAAAAGTTTTTGACAATTTTCACTGAATCGCAAAATGGGTTTCGCGCGGGCGAATCTGGGTATATATATTAGTTATATAGTAAAAAGTCATTATGGAAAAAAGAAACCACTTACATATCAGTTATCATTTGTGCTTTTGACATGAAGAAATAGAAACGAAACTTATCTAGCTATAGATTCATTTGTCTTTAGTTTAAGAGAGTTTATTCTTTGCAGGTCATATAAACGACCTGCAAACCTGACCTTTGTTCTTAGCATCATCAGTATACTATAATAATAAAATGGTGTGGTTGCATATACATTTACTTCGTCGTTCCACTTAGCTACAAATCGTCCTACAACGCGTTCGTGAATTCACATTCTCCACTCTAGAACTTGTCCACTTCAACGGTTATCGACTTTACGAGAGATTTGACTAACCCACTAGCACTTCAATATATGAATTCATTAAGCAATGTACATATTTATATGTATGAATAATGTATATATAATATTATATGTATATGTACATATACTATATGTATATATAATATTTAAATGTATGTTATGTATTTTATATACTTATTTATGTGAGTATTTAGGTGTATGTATGTATTCTTATGATTATTTGCATATGTTTTTTTAACACAAGCGTTTCTTTTATTAGATATAGCTATTTATTGCGTCAAATAGCTATTGCCTTTTTCTTTTTTCCTCTATCCAAAGGTTGTCTGGAAGAGATTGCTTTATTGATAAGAATTAATTTGTTTTGGATTTGATCTCTTACAGAAATTCCAATTATACCCTTTTTAACTTGTTGAGTGACTTTGAATTAGTAATATATATTATGTCTAAATTCAGCACCGCATTAAGGTTTTATGGTAAAGGCGACAAGAGGATTTGAAGCAGTTATCCATAAGCTAGCTACTCAAATCGAACTGTATCCTTTTCAAGATTTTATTTTTTATTTTTAGCATCTGTCTTTGCTTTCGTTTACATCGTTTTCTTAGGGTACTGAGTCTCTTGATTGAGAAAAATACAACAAAATCAGATTCAAAATTATGTCGAAAAATAATCTACCTGTTCACTTACGAAGTATTTTATGTAAAATTTCATATTCAATAGGCATTTAACGTTTTCTTATCTAACGCTTCATCATATAAAGTTTATTTAAGCAATCTCCCTAACCACGTTGACATGGCGTAGACAATCCATATAGTAGTAGATGCGACAAAGTAGGTAAATTTTATATTCTATTCTATAGTAGAATGTCCCTTTCAAATATTTATACATAGCTATACAAATATTGTGGTCCTTTAAATCTTTAAAATAAGTATTATGCAAAAACAATCTGAATTAAAATAGATACGGTAGATGTAATTTGCAACAAAAAGTTTTAATTTAAGCTTAAACTAGAGTTTTACTTTGTACTAAATAATAAACATACCAAATTAGATAATTCGATTATGAAGCGAGACTTGAATTATCTTTTTAGAAAACATAATGAAATAGTTTTCTGTTAGGAACAACAAAAGGGGTAAGTAATCGATTATATGCCAATGTGTAAGATTCCGGTGCAAAGAAAGGATCTCGCCGTGTTTCCATATGAAATCTGTATTGGCGTCTTTATCAACATTGGTGCCTTTATAGTAATTGCTAGTCGTTGGAAATAATTTTTGACCAAATATCATAATGGGTGATAATGGAACGGTAACCCCACCCGCGCTATTGGTATACACTGGCGGGGCACCAGTGAGGGATGATAGATGACTATGAAGCAGATCAGTTAGCCATCGTGACGAATTCAACAAGAATTGTCCACGATGGTTTCCAGGGGGAACCACCTATTGCTAGCAATGTCGAACTCCATCGCTAATAATCCCTTTTCCCCCATTTTACTGTGTTTAACTACTACTATTCTACAACAACGTCATTACTGTGTTTAATTCTTTTTATAATAATATTCCTGAAATTATTAGTCTTTATTAATTTTGTCATGGTTGAAGTTGCTGTTTTTTTATTTTGAGCAAAATCGATTTATTTAATAGGCTTTTTAAGATGAAAATGAAATGATAACCTCCGCCTACGTTATTGGTATACAATGGCGGGGTACTAACAATTGAGAGATAATAGACGAGAATGAAGTCAGGTCAAGTAAATTATTTAGACAAACTTACCAATAGCGGGGTTGCATCTGACGTGTCCAACGTTAGCCAAGATTGCAATTACGGTAAAGAGGGCGACGGTGAGTTTGAATGCCATTTTAGATTGGTCTGGAAAAAAAAGGAAGAATGTATTATTTATTTATTTATTATTTATTGCGCAATAAAACTTTGTCCAAATTGCGAGCTTAATATCAAATGGCATTTTTTACCAGCTAACCATTAGGTAAAAACAGAAAGCGTATGAAGGGCAGATGTGGTGAAAAATATGTGACATAATTATTTATTGTTTCATATTTTTGATATAATAGATACATTTTGTAATTGATTTTTATGTTAGTATGATAAGTTAAGATGTCACCGTGTGATCCTGGCATAGAATAGGCCATCCCTTACTTTTTCATGGATATCATAAGACGCAACTAAGAAAAGATATTGGTTAAGGAATGTAAAGCAGCGTTCCTCTTAAAACACACCCAAAGCTTAACTGCGCTTGCCAACCGGCCTGCCAGCTACTGGCAAAACTCTCTCTATGGGAAAGGCCCTTTTTTTAACGTTTGGAAAATGCTTTATGCAGACCCATACACCTTGTGGGAGGTGAATGGGTACTGTAGGAATCCCCCCGTAAGATGGGGGTGTACCCACCAAAAACCAAACGATATACCCTCGAGGTGCCATATGTCGGAGACAGGGCTCGCTTTCGCACTCACCACATCTCCGACGGCAGCGACCCGCCCTCTGATGGTAAGAGCAGGTCTCCTCTCTCAAGATAGGGTGGATGGCGTGCTCACCCTACTACTCGGGAGATGCGCCGGTATATTAGCACATCCGCCAGGACCATTGGGACAATACCTTCGTCTATGGGAAAGGTTTACGTTTGGCAATGGACAGTAAATGACTAGTATAATAATAATAATAATTGATAAGTTATAAAATATCATCATCGATTCAGCCGTGTATTGTCCTCTACTGAACAAAACCCTGTCCTATAGATTACAACAAAACGGTTTTGTGTCACATGCATCTATTGACATCCTGCAACAGATTTGATGCCGTTACTTTAACTAATCCAGAAGGTTTAATACATTTGCCTATGCAGGGTTGTCACTTATGAAATTTGCTTCTCTAATGGCTTCGTTTATCCGTGAAATACATAAATAATCCTTATTAATTTGTATAGTACGTTAAACACTTATTTAATATTTATAATAAATGCGTCTAAAATCTGTTTTTTTATTATCACGGATAAACTACTAAATCGATTTTGATGAAATTTTGGTAGTTTGATACTTTCACATCCAGCATTGAACAAAAGATTCTTTTCTTTTATTTACTCCCTCATATCGTTCACATGCATGAGCAGACTTTATTAACAGAGATGTGCGACAGTCATTGTGCTTACTAATATTATGAATATGAAAGCGAGTTTGTTTGTTTGTTTACATTATAGCACCTTAAGGTTTAACTAATCACTATGAAGTCTAGTATATACGTATTGTATGAGATGGAGAAGTATATAGACTACTTTTTATTATTATGTTAATGCATGTAAAAGCTAGTAGAAAAATAAGTTTACTATTTTATTTAGAATAAAAAATGTATCTATAAAATTATATCTGTAGTTACTCTTATAAAAAATTGTAAGTAGACAAACGTATTTACAGACCACTAAAATATAAAAAAATATAAAATATTAGAAACCAAAAACAAAATATCGATTTCAATAAATATAAGGTACCTGCAGATAATTATACAAATATAATGAAAAAAAAAATCAATAAACATAAATAAACTATACTAGAAAAATGTAAAGGAGACTACATACTTACCCTATTTATTTTAGGCTGCATAAAGCTTGCTTAACGGCACAGAAAAAAAAAGTAATATAAAAAAGAAAAAAATATTTATTTTATCACTAATTAATCAAATATTTATGACCACTTATCCCGCTTATCACTACGTTACACTCTGCGAGAACAGATAGACAAAGGAAAATCGTCGCACACGTCTGTAGATAAATGAAACTTGTTTAAATATGTAACGTGTTCACTATGTATGCGCACGCGCAAGGTGGGGGCGCATGTAAGGGATACCCGAGGAAACGGATCTGTACTTTTGCGAAAGCCGAAAGTTCTAAGTAGGAAGTCCATAACTTTGGGTTGGTATTAGTATGGATCTGATTTATAATATTTTAATATATATGAAGATATTAATTACTATACGCATGTATTCATTATGCTATAGTCATAGAACAACTACATATAATAATGTTATTACCAGTTTAGGTAATAAAGAAAAATAAGGACGAGTGAGACTTGAAGCTGTTCTCTAAATGTGATCGTTTACTCTGATTATAACGGTTATATTACTAAATCGATCTGGAATGATTTTGTCATAAAGATATCGTAGAATACGTATCAAATGTACGATAAATCAAATATGTGGTTATAAATTTTCATAGGTATCATGATCACATGTTAAAGAGGACATAAAAAGAAATAAGAGATAAATAGATTTGACCTATCGAAAAAGGGTGCTTTATTTAAAAAATGGAAACTATATAGAGAGAAATTTTTAGATAGAAAAAGAAAACAGAGCTAAACAATGCCAGGGTCACGTTGAGGCCTCATTCAATAAGTAAGATGGACACGGGCAGTAGTTCAAGGTTTGCAAACTGTTACGTTGATCTATTCACAGAATCGATTGCTTGATTTATAGATTGCGAAATTTGGATAACGTTATATAAGGATATTAGGTTCGATATGTGAAAAAAGACTTGTGACGCCGTAGCTCCTAAAATGTACTGATTCAATATAGTTTTTATTTATCTGAAGAATTTAATTGGCATGGTTCCTAATTATATTTAATTATATTGAGAGTTGTTTTAATTTTAACTACTTGTTTATATGATAATAGAGAAAAATTAAATATATTTAATCATTAATAAATAAATAATTCTAAGCTTTACCGCTTTAAGTATTATGTAATCTATGACTTATATCCTGGTGTCGTCAACATTGTTTTCTATAAAGTGAAAACCGAAAGTCGAAGCAGACTAGTAGGTAATGTTACTTTTTTAAGTTCGTCGAAATTGTTTATCGTTTTCTAATCGAGATAAGTACAATTAATGTTGTAACATATTATATTGAGCAGTACCATCAGTTTAATATATACAAACATTGCATTATTATTTTCATAATAATACTATTTACTATTTATTTTAGTATAAATAGTAATTATGTATTAAATATTACTAATTACAAGGCATAGATTTTATACCTATTTTTACTAGTACACGATTTTGCACGATGCTTTGTATGATTGCATGATTCCAAATAGATAACATGTCTACTCTTAATTTTGTTATTATACGTAAATTAATTTAATAAATTCATATCCATCATATTCTTTAATGGTTGAACGACTGGATCGCCTTCAGTGATAGCCCCAGGCGTCTGAATGCTCATTTCATACACGGATGATACCTAGTGGATAATTCAATAACCTTTTAATGGTAATTATATGAATAAAACATCCAGGAACATTTTGATTACCAAAAGCAACTTTGTAATTTTTAAATACTATAACCACTGCTTTATAATTGTATTGTTTAATTTGTAAATCTAATACATTTTAAATAATTATACTACCTATACTTTTTTTAAATAAAATATTGTAAACATATTGTTAAATTACTTTGTAAAATTCGGTACTGTATCGAGTTGCATATCGTAGAACAATTTTTTTAATATTCCAAATAAAAAGTAATATAAAATTCAAGTCTATTTCAAAAACTATATTATTTGTTAGATCTGAGAATAATCGTAAGTGTAGAAGACAATACTTTTAGGATAAAATTATTTTACTTCCGCGACAGTGCACAAAAGTCAAATGTAAATAACCTGTAGATACGAATCGTACTATGAATATTTCAGTATTGTATCGATTGCAGTTATACAAAACCGGTATAGTTAAATGATAACTATACTAAACGAACTAGTAACAGCAATGTATAACGTAGCATTCTAGAATTACAAGTAGCTAGTACGCTCTCCGACCGCATTTAGGAAGCGGATCTCTTTATCGTTCGATCTGTTTAAATCACAATTATTGTAGACACTTCCTAAATAAATTCATGTGTGTTCATACACATAATCCGGATACAAATAGCTCCTACGGCTTGTGATTGATTCTTATGCGTCTTTGTACACATTTCCGCATATGAAATCATTCCACGTAATATTCCAGTTCGATGGGATTTTTTTTATAAACAAGATTTACTAGTTTTCGTTTTTTATTACCATTTGGTTAGGTCATAAAAATAATAGTGTACAAACGATTATTTTACATACGAGTAAATATCATGTAAAAATCAAGCAAAGTTAAGCTAGCTAGTACAAAAGACGTTTTTGTATTTCGAAGAAGTTGTTCAGTTTTCTAATTTTATATAATGTAGATATATCCAAGGTATTTAAAAATGATACGAGAAGAGTTGATACTGTTTATTAATAAAAAAGTTCTTGGCTTGACATCAGACTAAGGTTGCTATGGTATAGATAATAGAATTAGATACATAAAAACATTATTTTTATAATAATAAAAAAAATACGTGTGGTCTCGGCATAGCATGGACCATCCTTTCCTTTTCCATGGGTGTCGTAAAAGGCGATTAACAGAACAGAATGATCGAGGATGAGTAGCAGCGTCCCTCTTAAAACATCACCAAAGCCTAACTGCGGTTATCAAATCGCCTGCCAAGCATGAAAATTACTAGCATAACTTCCCTTATGAGGGAGCCTTTGTTCAGCAGCGGACAAATGACCACTGATACAACAACACACAACCAAAATAAAAAAAAAGACGATATGAGCACTTTATCTTTTATGTATGTTTTCAACTTGCAACAAACACATTTTCATTATTTATAAAATATACGTATTATTTAATAGTTACCTGAATGGAGTGATTTGATTGTAACTGGTTGTAGTAGATCTGAGACTGGATGTGGAATGTGCAGAGAAATGGTGTTCCTCGCTTTTTATATAAGTCTAGAACCACTCAAATAAACGAACCGTGTCCCGGAACAACAGGAGGTTGAGTTCCATTGTCTTGTTAGTGCTAATTTAATTTCGATAATACGTTTCGAGAAAATAGCCACCATTTTATTTAGAAAAATAAATTTAAGTACTAGCTCAGCTGTGTTAGCAACTGTACTTATTGTTTGCAAGATTTTGTACAATAGAAACTCTATCAGTCGTTAAGTGTAAACTGCTAAACATAGGCCACGCATATAAGGGGGGTTTTGCCAGTAGCTACCATGCTTGGCTACAACTCCTCTAGTTGGCAACCGCAGTTAGGTGTTTTAGGCAGTAGTTTGGTGATGTTTTGACAAGGATGCTGCTGCCCATATCTCGACAATTAAGGTTCCTTAGTTGCCTCTTATAAGACCTACAGGAAAGAAAAGGATCTATTCTATGCCCGGATCACAGGGCACTACTTTGTAGAGTATACTCTATATCCTTTAATTTTACTGGCAGTCTAACAGTTACTTACACACACACTTACAGGCAGTTTACTGGCATCCTCTAATTTTATTTGGAATGAATGCAGGTTAGTTGGCCCACCATTACGAATTCGACAAGAATTAAAGATGATGGTTTCCAGGGGAAACCGCGTGAAGGTTAACCTAAGAAGGTATATTGCCAGTAATGGGGCTTTTAGACCCCATTACTAACAATCCCTTTCCCTCCGTGTTTGCAATCTCCGTGTTCGGGTTGAGGGGTGGGATATGGCAGTGAATTTACAGGGTACAGAAGAATAACACCTTAGTCCATAGGAATGGCAACTCATGGTGGTATCATGGGCGAAACAGTATATTCTGTTATGTCCATGGTAATGCTCTTATCTATAGGCGACGGTTACTATTTTCCATCAGGTGAGCATAAAAAAAATAAGGATATAACTATATCATTACTACCATATGAATGTCTGTAAAACCAAAGATGTAATTTTTTAAGGATTTTTCAAGTCCTTTATTTATATTCGTTTTCTCTAGTTTCTCCTCTTTTTTCTAGTTTCTTACTAAAGAGAACTGGTAACTTTGAGCAGTCAAAGAAAGTTAGTTTTAAATCAATTAATTAAATTCGATTTAAGAGAGAAATCCAGCTATCTTCTTAAAAAAAGAGAATTGTTGTAGAGACATATGGATTATTGCAAAAGTTTTTCCTTTAAAATACCCATTCTAATAATAATAATCTCATCTATTGAATAATTCAGAAAATATTTTTGGAAAGTTGTAGTGGAAGATATAGATAACAATGGCAACTAGCCTTGCCTCCCTTACTTTATAAAAAGGCGCGTACTTATTAGAGTAAAGAGTTGGGCCATTTAGAGCTCACCCTCCGTCATTTATTATTATCATTGCTGGCCATTGTTATACTGATTTATATCTGGCATATACATATGTTTGATAAATGATGCTAACCTTACATTTTCTACTCTAATAGATACCTATTCGATGTTATATATGATATTCTTATTTGCTAATGTCGTAATGTGAATGTATTTTTGCTTCTTTTTTCCCCTTTTGGTGTTTTAATAATTATCATTGTGAATGATATTGTGTACACGAAGTATTTGGTATGGAGAAGAAGGATACAATATATATTATTTGGCGAGTCAACAATATCAATAATATATCAAATTACTCAATAGTTACTATATTTTATGATGCTTATCGTTGTGTATATACTCGTATAAATAAATAAATAAATATATATACATTGTCCTTTATGCGCTTTCCGCATTTACCCTTAAGTCTTAAGAGAGATTTTGCCTCACTCTGCGTGTAATACCGCTTATACAACAGTTTGTGCTCAGAGAAATTATTCAATATGATGCCTACGGCCACTTTTTATCATCGTACGGCTCGCCATCGACAGGGAGTTCACCCTCATACCTTACAGCCTAAATGGTCGCGTACAACGCGGTTTCAGAGATGTTTTCTCCCACGAACACTCAGGTTATGGAATGAGCTCCCTGCCGAGGTTTTCCCAAGAGACTACAGCATGGGGTTCTTCAAAAGGGGGGTAAAGAGGTTTCTTCAGGGTTGGCAACGCGCGCGTAATACCTCTGGTATTGCAGGCGTTTATAGGCTACGGTAACCGCTTACCATCAGGTGGGCTGTATGCTTGTTTGCTACCACAGTGGTATAAAAAAAAAAACCTAATGGTAACTTGGCAAAGAATATCATATGGCATTAAGCTTGCCACTTTTACAAGGTTTTATTCTGCAATAAAGAAAAAAGTAAATAAAATACGATCTAGTCTTTTTTTTATCCTGAAAGTAATTCGTTTAATCAATATGTTCTAGTCACGAGGACCAAGTTTAGGGTACGATTAATATAGAACTATTTTTATAAAAATAAAAAACCTAATATCAATACAAGCTATGGACTATGAGGAAAGTAAGATGTGCTAGGCTGATGTACTAGGTACTAGAGTTCTCAATGTACAGAGTTCGAATATAGGTTTTGAGTGCATGTGGTACGCGAATACTATTCAAGTCTTTATCGTAAGTTTTTATATGTCTGTTAAATCGTGTCACTTTTTCCTAACTAAACGGAAAATTATTAAATAAGTGAACATATTTGACAGAAGAGCTACTGAATAAATTTGAGTGCCTTCTTCGGTCTACGTAAATATGATTGTGTATCCGCTTTTCGTGCTCAGTTAAAATGGCTTCCAATTCGACTTCGACATGATATGCACATCCTCCTACTCTTTATAATATACTTAATGATCCCAATTCTCCGTCTTATCTCCGTTCCCGGTTTCGAATTCTGCCCCCTCCCTCACGTCCCAGACGTGCTTGTCTGGTCCAGTTCAAAGTATTAGAACTCCCTACTTGTAAGAATCATTTTTTTGGAAATTCCTTCTAGGCTACCTGCGGATATACAGGATAGTCACTCCATTACTTCCTTCAAGAAAAGATTGAAATCTCACCTTTTAACTAAAAATACATGATAATACTATGCATTTGTACATATTTATATGTATATATAATATTTATTTATTTACTTATTTATTTACAATTTGTGTAGGTTTGTTTTATTTACATTATTTTTACCTGTACCTTTCCTGCACTCTCTTTTAGATATATATATTGTCGAGTGTAATGGAGTAGTCGAATATCTAAACAAGTACTCAAGTACTTGTTCGCGTCCTCCGAGTATAAATCTTTTCGATTAATATAGTGCAACATGTACTGGTTAAAGGCCATCGTCTATAAACTTTGAAGTATTTTGGAAGAGAAGACGGCTTCGTAGCTTCTTTTGTTATCGAACTTTTTTTTTTATAGAACCTACATTATCTTAAAAACGTCCAAAGGCTGCTTTTAAAATACTGGGAAAATAAATATACAATGCCCCTAAGATATAATTACACAGTAGGACTCTAAGCAAAAGAAAACCTATCATTATCCAAATGTAATTGCACTCATTCAAAAGATCTGATAATTAAAAGCTGTAATATATAATAACAACAATTTACAATTAAAAAAATAATATTTATTTCGTAAAATGTAATTTTAAACGCAAAATTTCCAACTTTACAGACAATTTAAAACTTCAAACTACTACTTTACAAAATACTATCAATAGTTACACTTGATTGAGTTCCAAAACTGAAAACCAATCAAACTGCTCTGGTCAAAACCACAAGATATACGATGCTCGAACTTCTACGGGTCGAAATTGAATCTGCAGCTTCATGAACTCAGTTACAATATGAACGTGTCCCTAAAGATTTAACATGGATTTGGTACAAGAATTGAACTTAATATTAGTAACCTTAAATGTAGTTAAATATTGTATTTAGGACAGTAAACGTATATTTTTAGACAGGCCTTGCTTGATGACAGAATAAAATTGAGAATATTAACTTAATTCCAATAGATTTTGGGTAGATTGTTAGATTATTGTCTAAAATCTCATCAGTTATCAGTTGTATGTTGTAACACAATTTTTATTTATTATAAAACAATGTATCAAATTTGAGACACAACATTTTAGATGCATAATGATTTGATGTAAAGTTGCATATATTGTTGTTAAGTGTTTATTAATTGAAATGAAAAAGAAACTAAATCTCTTAAAAAAAACGAATTCTCACTGGTAATTTGAATGGTTTAAGTATTGTAAAGATCGAATAAGTTTTTAATATGAGCATTAAATTTTTGTGCTTGAATATGTTAAGGTGTTCAGCATATAACGAAAAAGAAAATAAATCGATTGGAAATAAAAAAAATATTATTATTTTTGTGTCTTGTTGTCTTCTGCTAGTATTCGTATTTTGGGTATGCTGCCTCGATGTAGTGCGTTGGAAGACTATTTATTATTAATTGTATGTGTTGTTATAATGGATAAATTAAATTTAATTCTTCGTGTAGTAAATATAAAAAGTAATTTTTTAAATTGGGCATTGAATTTTTGAGATCAAAAAAGGAATAAGTTTTAAACTATTCAGTTCTCAACATTTGGTACTTCATCGGCCATACTTGCGAGAATCAGATTCTTATCAGTGCCTTGGGCTCTTTTAGGTTCTAGTGCGGCTCTCATTTCTAAGGCACGGGTGTCTGTCTCGAGTGATTGGTTTTTGTCGTTTAAATCTATGGCTATCTTGATAGATGTCGCTTCTAATGCGTTGTAAGTAGCTCTGAAAAAAATATATAGTAGGTATTTGTTATTCACTATTTATTTTCTTGAAATTTCAAAAGCTTTAAGGTTTGTTACATGTGTATACGCCATACACATACACACACACACACACACACATATATAAATATACAGGCAAAGCTTGTTTTTACCCGCTACTTCGTACGCGTGGTTTTCAGTTATAAAACAATGAAAACTAAATTCAATTTGATGTAGTAGTTTTTGCGTAACGCCGAAACAAATATACAGACAGACAAATCGTCCAGTCACAATTTTATTGTGTTAGTTGAAATTATTTTTTTTTGTTGCTATAAATTGTTGGATAGATTTTATTTTTATTATAATAAACATACAAAAATGGGACTTAACAATCTAGAACACCTACGTAAGTATTTCATAAAAGTCCGTCCCATCTCACTTCTTGGAGAAATTTTTATTCGTTCCGCTTTTCAAGCAGAACACATATATTGAGATTTACTTACTCGCCTAGACCACATGAAACTTTAAGTCGCAAAGAAAACTTAAGTTAACCTTACAATGGGACTACTTGAATTGGCTCGACGCCCGTTCTTAATATATTATTTTCACCAATTAATTATAAGTAGACCCAAATTTCTATGTTTTCTACGACATTAAATTTAATACATTATGAAATACAAACATGTCTTATTTTTTGAGCATAATTGGTTACTTAATTATGCTCGAAGCATACTCAAACGGCTAAATGGATTTGTTTCCAAGATGGACTGTAGCTTACGAGTTATTAATATTCTAATTTTAAAGGTCAGTTTGTTATTGTTTTTTTTGTAACATCTTGGCGCCTTAACGGCTCAACCAATCGTCATAAAATTTGGTTTACATGTAGAAACTATTTAACAATAAGTATCAAGCACACCAATTGCCTAATAATCAAGCTTTGATCAGGGTATGTTACTAACTTTACCCAGAACAGATTCGAGCTAACTCAGAAAAGTTTATTTTCCAAATTGGCTAGCTCGGGAATTGAACACGGGATCTGATTTACGCAAATCAACATGCCCATTGCTGCGTCACAGAGGTCAGCAAATTTTGTATGGATAATGACATAATAGTCTATATTAACTGCGGTCGATCAAAATGGGATGTTTCGTCACGCAAATCGCAGGTAAAGACTAGTATAATATATTTTATATCAAAATTATTAATAGTTAATTACTTAGCGCAGTCCAACTTATCTTGCAACTGCCGTATGGTCTCTCTGAGATTACGGACTTCTTCCTTCAGACCTATATCAGCTTCATCCCCGGCTAGCTCGATGCCAGGTCGATATCCTCGAGTCTCTAAGCGAGTCTCGGCTACTTTCAACGCGTTTACTTTATCGGCGAATTGTTCACCCAATGTTTTCAACTCGGTGCTCAGTTTATCCATGTTTTCTTCCATCTGTAGAATAGATTAAATTCTATTAATATAATAAATGTGAAAGTTTGTAACAATGGATAGACAGATGGATGTTTGTTTATTACTCTTTCACGCAAAAATTACTGAACGCATTTAAATGAAATTTTGTAGACGGGTAAGTTGTATCCTAATTTAGCATATAGGATACTTTATCAACGCGGGCAAAGCCGCGGTATACAGCTAGTACCATATACTCGTAATACTACTAGCTATTGTTTACAGTTTAGCATACGTAGTATTGTTTTTTTTTGTTATTTCTTAAGTTGATAAAATCCTTCTATAAATTAAGACATATTATGTTTTCTGTTCTGATTCAGGTGGGTAAAACTGAGGGCAAAACATACATGTATTATTGCATAATATATGTTGTAGGATACAGCTAGCGTTCATATTTAAGGATTTAATTAGTTATTGAAAAAAAAAACTAACGTATTTACCTAATTTTTTTTTTTCTTATTATTGGAAATATCTAATAATAGCTTTTAATACTCTTTACGTTGTTAATTAACTTCGTACATCAGTAATAGGGTACTTAATTAAATAAATTGTTGTCTCCGGCAAATAGTAAAACATTTATTTGCGTTCAGAATATTAATTCTCGTTGAATTCTACATACGAAATATATAATTTTTATTCTAAAGTCACTAACAGTGTATGTTCCTTTCTATTTTTTATTTTATATCATTTTTATAAATTGGAAGTTTATTCAATTTTGTTATTTATTTTCGTGAAGAAGATTATGTCTAGCCATTTAAATATATAGCTAATTTGCTATACATACCTTATTTGACTTTGATTTTTTTCTATAAGCACGTCGAAGTAACTTTCTCTTAGGAACGAATTGTGGACTTATCCTCTTTGGAATATAGATAAGGAAGTCTGTTCAAATAACGGTCTCTATTCGACCAAGATAAGTGACAATTTCGTACGCATTATCGAAAAATAGTACATGTCCAAAACCGGTGGCCCTTGGAACAGGAACCGAGGCTATTTCCGAGTCAACTATTAAAGCCATATAAGACGAGATCATTTTAAATTATGAGTTTCAATGCTCAATTAAAAGACAGAGAATGTGGTGAAAGTAAAAATATAGAATTCCATGATTTCGGCGGCTGGCTCGCCCACTGCCTCACACGTTGGCTTCTAATATTTATTTCACTAGGTGTTCCCTGCGACATTGCTCGCGTGATTCAATGTATAAAGTATTGTGTTTGTTAAGTTAGAATTTAATTTATCCATGCGCTAAATTTAATTCTAATTCATCCAATCATGTAAATGTAATTGAGTAACAAATATATTTTGCAAGCTTTTATTACATTTATTATAGGTATAGGTAATATAGATACCGATTTGATACCTGTATATTGGGTTTCTCTGGACATTGATGGCTGAAAATGGGTCATCACTCATTTCGATATCGCTAATATTGCTCGGATATCTATTTTTAAATATGTTTTTTTTTTTGGCGGGTGAAAATGGAATGGTGCCACCTGCGCTAACGGGATACGCTGGCAGGGCACCAGTGAAGGGTGATCGATGAGAATGAAAACAGGCCAGTTAGCTCATCATGATGAATTCATTAGGAATTAACCATGATAGTTTCCAAGGGGAACCACGAGGAGGTCGACCTGGTTGGGTATATTGCTAGCAATGGGATTCTCAGTCTCAATTACTAACAACCCCTTTCCCCCTTTTAAATATGTTAAAAGTTTGTTATCCAATATTATTTTTTGGATAACAGACTTTTAACATATTTGTTATTTGACCAATATATAGAGCTTCTAACTAAATACGAGTATTACCCACCTATAATTTATAATATTACTAGGATTTCTTTATTTTAATCAGGAAACTATAGGCCTAAATTTAATAGACACACATATATTAATAAAATATACATGTTATATATTATAATGGCATATAACATTCAGTTAATGGGGAATATTCTTTAATAGTACCTTCCTACAGTGCAGGAAAATGTCTATGACGTAAATAGTCAACAAATACTTTCTACTACCCCATTAGGAAGAGTGGTCCTGAGCGTTTATATTTACTAGCTGTTTCCTGCGGCTTTACGCCCGTGAATCAGTATATATGTATCTTATATGTTCAGTTAGGATATAACATACCCGTGTACCGAATTTCATTTAAATCTTTTCAGCAGTTTAAGCGTGATTGAGTAACAAACATCTATACAAAATTAAACATTACTCAATCGTGCTTAAATGGAATTGAGTAAAGTTGTGGGTCTTAGCTAGTTATTTTCCACATTATTAAGAGAAAGTGTCTAAGCTAATTTCGACCAAATTTTGTTATTATGTATGTATTAACCCAACTTAGTAATAAATTTGGAACTGGTATATATTTCATCTGAATCGGTAGAGCGAATAATGTAATAGAGCTGATAGCCCGATCTCTTCGTTTTATGAAGTTGCGTAGACGGCGGAGGTCTTTTTATATTGGACGACGATATGATTATTATTAAGGTAATAAGAAAGGTTAGTTAGTTCAATTCTTAAATCTACAGGGATTTAATGATAAATAGGGAAGATCATAGAGCTTCTATTAATAGAGTCAGTTCTCAGTATCGAATGTCGAAGGTAGCACACATACCAATGGTAGCGGAATTAAACAAAATAATGATAATCATCTAGCCAGTGATATGGACTATCGCATGCTTTAATGTTTTTTTTTTTAATATTTTTATGTTATTGCATCAGACATTAGTTGTCCACTACTGAATAAGGCCTCCCTCTTAAGAGGGGGTTTTGCCAGTAGTAGCCACTCTTAGCGGGCAAATTGGCAACCACAGTTTGGCTTTAGGTATAAAGAGGGATGCTGCTGCCCATCTCTCCACCGTAAAGTTCCTTAGTGGCCTTTTACGCGAAAGAAGGAGTAGCCTATTTTGTGCCGGGACTTACACGGTTATTTCTTATGGCATAGAAAAATTGATCTCCTACACGCAATGGCGCGAACAACGATTAGTTATTAAAGAATAAATACCTTCATCTTCTGCCATTCTAACTCGTTCCTTGCTCTCTGTGTATCGTAGATGCGTCTGCGCAGCATATAATTGGTGACGTCGGTTTGAGCTCGTAGTGCGTTCCTTGCTCGTCCTCTCGCCACGAAGAGAGCCTCTCGCAAACGAAGTGTGTCTTGCAACTCATCCATTGCCATTTTCTTGATAGACTCACATTTATCAAGCCATTGATCGTAGGTTATCATTCTTTAAAGATAAATAATAAATTAAATAAATACTACTAGAGATATTACAGAGCGTACATGTAGTCCTAAATTAAGTAAGAACTTTATTGATGCTAGACAACTGATGTTAAGACATTATTCATAAGAAAATACTTAGAAAAATACAAACAGACAACTCCATAAATACAAATGATTATTGAACGGGGATGTTTTTTTTAATGGATGATAATGGAATGGTAACACCGCCTGCGCTATCGATATACACTGGCGAGGCATCAGTGACGGATGATAGGTGAGGGTGAAGCAGGTCATTTAGCCCACCATGACGAATCTAACAGTAAATTAATCACGATGATTTCCAGGGCGAAGTACGAGGAGATCAATCTGACAGGGTATATTACTAGCAAAGGACAAAATAGAAATAATCATTTCTAACAATTCCTTTTTCCTCCTTGGACGGAAATCGAACCCATGGCCATGTGAAGGTATAGCGTCACCAAAATAGTGACGGTGTTTTTTTTTAATGGGTCAAAATGAAATGGCAACCCCGCCTGTGCTATTGGTATACACTGGCAGGGCACCAGTGAAGGATGATAAGTGAAGATAAAAGCAAGTCAGTTAGCCTATCGTGATGAATTTTACAAAAAAATATCATAATGGTTTCCAGTGGAAACCGACCTGGAAGTCGACCTGGGGCTATGAGTGACGATGGTAGGTTATTTTGGATTCTATGAGTAATATAATCGGCGAAATGACTATAGGTGAATATCAAGAGTTAAGTTCACTATAACGGCAACAGTCAGTAATTGATAGTGAGAGGCAATTATCGACTGTTGAAGATTATATTCGGTGATCATATTATTTACTAGTAATCTGCCCAGGCTTCGCACGGGTAAGTTAGAAAGATAAAATTAGTATTTTAAATTAAAATTTTTTAAATTTTGTCTTATAGTATTAAAGTTTTCATAGCAATCTAAATTTTTTGTTAAATAAAATATTGCTTTTATTACTTGCTGATAATGTTTCTTTCAATAAAAGAAAGAATTTCTAAAATCGGTTGAGTAATTTTTGAGTTTATTTATTACAAACAAACAGATCTTGCTTCTTTATATATATATATATATATATATATATATATATATATATATATATATATATATATATATATATATATATATATATATATATATATATATATATATATATATATATATATATATATATATATATATATATATATATGCATGTTTAGTTTCTTTTCTTTACAATTCGCAATAAGCAATTATTTATTCTGCAAAGGAAAATGGCAATTTCAATGAACACAAAATTGAAACAGGATTATAGTTCACATAGAAAACTATCGATTAATGAAAAAAAATGTGCAGAATTGTTCAGAATTGATAACGTATTGGTATTACAGAGTTATAAAATAGAAGAATTGAAAACCTTTTTTTTTATTTACTTAAATCTTATAAATTCCCTTAGTCGTCTCTTATGACGCCCATGGGAAAGGAAGGGGTGGCCTACTCTATGCCAGGACTACACGGCAAGTAGAATACTATATTAAATCATTATCATTACTTATATTATAAATGTGAAAGTAATATTGTTTGTTACTTCATAGTGCCGTAACGGCTTAATTAATCACCATGAAATATATTTATGATATTAATATAGATAAAGGTTTTTTTTTAATTCTAAAATATGTTAAAAGAGACCCTATCTTTTATATAATTTTAATTGTAGACTGAGGCAGCAGGTGTACTAAATGTGAATTTGATTGCATTAAAGAAAATGGAGTGCTGGAAAGTTCCGTCAACATAACTGACTTTTGATAACAAAGATGATTATAATACGTTTATTTGCAGATAAGCCATTTTCCGCAGCTTCATCCACGCTGAATCCACTATTTCTTGTGCCCGCAAAAATTAAAAAAAAAAATAGTTACTTAGTGATTCATTTGCTTAATGTATAACTAAAAAACTGTTGCATAAGAGGAAGATTACCAAAGTCGTTTATTGGGCACGTCTGTCTCACTCATGTTTCTGCTGTGAAACAACTGTGCTTGCATGGTTGTGTTTCGTTTTGAACGGTGAGGTATGGCAGTGAAATTACAATATATGAAGGCATAATACTATAGTTTTTAGGAATAGTTACGTATGAGGTGAATTATGAAGGGAAAAACGGAACCCTTATAGTACTTCGTTGTTTGTCCGTTTGTCCGTCTGTCAAGATCCTTTTTCTTAGGAACGCGTGGAGGTATCAAGTTGAAATGAATATCATATACTCAGGTCTGCAATCTCTTAAAGCAGTGAAAAAATCAAGGTTCTAAATCGACGCAATCAAAAGATATGGCCGTTAATGTTCCATTTAAATCGTTTATTTTGACATTTGCAAAGGGAATCAAAACCTATATGGTACTTCTATTTGACTTAGATCATGATATTTGGCAAGAAAAAATGTCACATGGCACAAGTAAAGGAAAAAATGTGAAAACCGTAAATTAGTAGTTATTTCGCGAAAAAAATTCAACTTGATGATTTTGTACGGAACCCTCACGCGAGCCCGACTCGCACTTGACCCTTTTTTATTATTATTACATCAGACAATCGCCGACCGTTCACTGTCCACTGCTGAATATAGGCCTCTCCTATTGGGGGATTTTGACAACCACTGGGTTGTCACACTTGGTAGACGGGTTGGCAACCGCTTAACCTTTGGTGATGTTTTAAGAGGAACGCTGCTGCCCCTCCTTCAACCAATAAATTCCCTTAGTCGTCTCTTATGACGCCCATGGGAAAGGAAGGGGTGACCCATTTTATGCTGGGACTACACGGCTAGTAGAATACTATATTAAATCATTATCATTACTTATATTATAAAAGTAAAGGTAAGTTTGTTTGTTACTTCATAGTGCCGTAACAGCTTAACTAATCACTATGAAATTTTGTATACATGAACTATATAGGAAGTAGAAGTATATGAGCTACTTTGTATTTCGGTCAGTAAACATATGTTATGTGAACGAAGTCGTGGTTAAAAGCTAGTATAATTTATAATTTAATATAATATTCTACAAAAAAGGATTCTAACATGTACCTATTTATAGGGGAGAAAGAGATTGTTAGTAATAGGGTCTAACTGATCGATAGCCAGCTATACACCTTATCAGGTGGACCTCCACACGGTTCCCACTGGAAACCATCGTGGTTAATTCTAACGGAATTCTTCACGATGGTCTAACTGACCCGCTTTTATCATCACCTATCATCCCTCACTGGTGTTCCACCAGTGTACACCGATTGCGCAAGAGGGGTTATTCCATTATCACCCATTAAAAAACATGTATTTATACAATAAAATTGCTTCCTATACTAATTTCATAAACATGAAAGTTTGTAAAGACATTTAGATGTTTAATTCGAAGTTTGTTAGTCACGCTTAAATGGCTGAATGGATTTGAATGAAATTTGGTACGCAGATGGTCCTTGTTTTAGATTAATACTTAGAATACTTACAATGTTAATTCAAGCGGATACAACCGTGGATTACAGTTTGTGACAATATAATGACAAGATGACAGTAAGACTGGTAAAACGCTTGAATGTTATCCGCAGCTTCCAAAAACGAACTAAAATATAAAATTTTGAGTTTTTGGAATCTATATCTAGATTTAAGTAAATAAAAAAAAAATTGTTTCAATTCTTCTATTTTACAATATATATATATATATATATATATATATATATATATATATATATATATATATATATATATATCCTGTTTTAATTTTGTGTTGATTGAAATTGCCATTTTCAATTTTTTCATTGCCATTTAAAGAAACTAAACATGAAATTCCTACAATATATATATATATATATATATATATATATATATATATATATATATATATATATATAAAATCCTAACTGCGGTTGGCAACCCCCCTACCAAGCATGACAACTACTAGCAAAACCCCTTATGGGGAAGGCTATGTTCAGCAATGAATGGTTAACGGTTGATACTACAACAACATATATATTTATACATATAATTTATAGCTCATTTACTTCGTAAAAGTGTCGCCCAGTAAACTACTATAGTCTTTGTAATGAATGTGACCTAAAAACTCTTGATAACAATGCGGAACGCTCAAGAATTCAAGAGTTTCTTTGACTTACAATTACGCTATTAAATAAAATGAAATTTCAATTTAATAAATGAAATTTATTTAGTTTTGTTCAAAGTTGGAGAACGAAGGCCGTCTCGCTCTTATTTTTAATAACAAATATACAGTTTATCTGATGGTAAGTAACCACTGTTGTCAATAAATACTTCCAACGAAAGAATTGTCGGCGCAATATTGGCTTTTTAGAAAAAAAAATATGCACTTACTGTAAAGGTTGTATTTAAAAAAATAGTCGTAAAACTGCAAGTCAGAAGTGAACACTTAGCTTACGAACTTGTAAACATTATTTTTTGGTTGTTAAGAAATTTTTTTTTTTACTAAGTATTTATTATTAGATACTAGCGGCCCGTCCCGGCTTTGTACGGATGGATATTATTACATTTTAAAAAGTGGCCAATAAGGGTGCACACGCAACGGAAGCTTAAAAATGGAGTAACTTCTCCCGTTTTCCCAACATTTCCCTTCACTGCTCTGCTCCTATCGATCGTAGCGTGATGAAAAGTATACTATAACCTGCCCAGGACTATAATAATTGTACCAAGTTTCGTTAAAATCCGTTGAGTAGTTTTTGTGTATAATGAACATACAGACAGACAGACAAAAATTTTATTGATTGCATTTTTGGCATCAGTATCGATCACTAATCACCCCCTGATAGTTATTTTGGAAATATATTACAGAATTGACCCCTCTACAGATTTATTATAAATATAGAAGATAAAATTTTATTTTTTTGAGACCCTATTAAAAATATTTACATCAAATTTAAGGAATGGATTACGTTAATTAAATTACTGTGTGTGTATGTATTAAGCGTGATGGTCATGCGAGTTCAATACTTTTCCCCCAACCTAAAAAGTGCAAGTTGGTGCCTGAAGAAGTTGTTACATCGAAAATTTTTTGATAGGGTATAATTTTTTTTAAAATACGCACAATGGTAGAAAAGCTAGACAAGTTGAATGAAAACAAAGTTACCTTTTAGGATTCTTCAATGAATCAGTTTTGTAGGTGATATTTGCGCAGTCCTTGTCTAAATTGAGCATGTCTTTGTCAATCTGGAGGGCTTCGTTTTTGTCATTCAAGTCTAGTTGGAGTTTGAACTTGACTACTTCTAACTTGTTAATCTTTTCCCACGCAGATTGGCATCTGTCTATTAACATTTTCTTGTTACTCTCCGTCACGCATAATTCCTGGAAATTTGATAGGGATCTATAAAACGGATGGAAAGAGTCATTTGTGATACGTAGTGGTTATAAGATCTGTGTTTATTTTCAATTTTTCAGTAGTTGAGAAAGAAAACAAAAAAATTGTGACAAAAAAAAAACTATAATGTCTCAATATAGATGTAATTTAATTATGTATATTTATTAAATTAATAATAATATAAATGTAAAAGTGATTTTGCATGTTATCTCTTGGCGTTTAACGGATCAACCAATTGTTTTGAAATTTGGTATTAAATGTACTGTTTCGGTGAGAGAATAACTCAACCTACTATTTTATCCTGCCTATTAATATATCCTGGTAACACGAACAAAGTCGCGGCTAAAAGATAGCAAATAAATAATTAACAATAGACATTTTTTATCTTTAATATTGACGGCAAGGAAAGCAAAATTCGATAGACGGTGGGAAGCCTATTCAAAATGCAGGGGAATTTTTAATTCAAGTTGTGCTTGGTGAAATAGAGATGTGGATTATATTTGTACTTAGAAGTCATACAAGTCACAGTATAATCACGGTCTAGCAAGGGGAGCCATGGCTATCGATTTTTGCCTTGTTTGGTCTTCTTTAATTAACCTTCAATGTAAACAGAGTTACATTTTTTTATAAAGACTCTTATTGACTCAGCGTCGAAACTATTTATAAATTTAGTACAAAAGTATGTAAACAAGCAAATTAAGATATATAGAAGTAACAATATTTATGTTACACGTTTCGCATTTAAGAGAATTTAGTCACTGATAATGTAAATTTTGCTAGTATTTCGTATCAATTGTATTTATCGTATATTTTAAACCACAATGGCTATTAGAGACTTATATATAAATGTGTTATTTTAATTATAAGAAACATTTTTCCAATCTCCTGCAATCTTAATGGCGTAGTAGTATGTATTTTTATTAATGAGATTCCAGGTTCGACCTCGATTGGAAAATTAAACGAATTTATTAACTTGGCTCTGATTTGGGTCTTTTAAGTATCCACCAGTTTGTTATCTAGTCTCTCATAATAACTTAGAATACGCTGAAAACCAGATAACTGATGTAATTAGCATTGTGATTGTTAGAAGCTTCTTAATAACTTTTTTCAACTCGGTATCAGCAAGATCGTAAGTCAACTCAGTACTTCTTCTACCATCGCGATTCGACAGACATTCAGAGCAGACCAGAAGAGGCATGTTTAATTGTTCCAACTCGCGTTCCGTAGAAGCTTTCTCTTCTTTTAAGGCCGCCATTTCTCTGTCTAAACGTTCGAGAAGCTCTTGTAATGTTGATTTCCATTGTTCTATTTCATAAACCCTGCACAATAAAGGCATTAAATTACCGTCGTTTGTTAAATTGTTGCAATGAGGCTTAATGTTTAAATATTTATTCTATTGCACACAGACCCACATATTCGAATATAAAATCTTTTACGACTGTAATTACAGAGGGGGTAGGCAGAGGCATTAGTCGGGTATTGTCTTTGTGGTGAGCGTAGCAGTTTATATGGACGTATTTAGTCAAATATTTATTTGAAACCAACTTTTGGAGCTAGTACTTCGAGAACAATGATAATAATGATGTAATGGTTATGTCTTCTAATTAGCAAACACTCTCTTAGGTGTCAGGGAGAATCCGTTGGTGAGCTCTATAGCGGTCGACATTTTGTTGATAAACATGTGAAAGCAAAATGTGCACTTTAAAGTGGAGCCTTGTGGAGTGCACAAATTGACACAAATGTAACAACCAGAGTCTGTTTAAATCGTCAAAAAAGCATATAGTGAGCTACTATTACTAAGCGATCATAAAGAGAAGAAGATTTACAATAGAAAGTATTTTTGTGTATAAACACAAAAATACTTTCTAAATATAGATTTTGATAATAATTTGAGTATTATCATAACTAAAACATTTATTTTTGGTAGAAGAAATCTTAAACTATTGTGTTTAATCAAATTTTTTTTTTATTATAAGCCTTTCGAAGGAATAATTAAATAGTACTGAACATAATCTTTTCCATAAGGAGAATGTTGCCAGTAGCTGTAATGCTTGGAGAGCGGGTTGGCAACCGCAGTTAGTTTTTAATATTTTAAAAGGGATGCTGCTGTCTATCCCTCGACTATTAAATTCTCTTATTTGCCTCTTATGACACCCACGGGAAAGGAAACGGTGGACCATTCTATGCTACGATCACATGGCGTTCTATGTTAAAATTTTATGACTCGTACACACATGATTTCGAAAGTTTTGAATAATATACGTATAATATAATATAGTAACGAATAATACCTTGCTCTAAGTCGATTGTTATTATGGTAGCTGTCCCAGTCAGTCTTGATTCTGGTTTCGTTACGTAGTTGGTGTGCAGAGTGACGTAAATCAAATGCATCAGCCCTTCTAGTATCCGCTGTTACCTGTTAATGAGAATTTATAATTTATTTCACACTTGGGTTTTTTATGACATTGCTATATCTCACATATTGAGACCTGATATATTAATGTAAAGTCTTTATATAATTAATACACAATTATCTAGTTATAAAAAAATAAATAAAGGCACGCAGCACCAAAGACGGCCGAATTACTAAAAGTGATCTTGTAACTTTCAAAAGATGTTTGAAAAAAATTGGGTAAATTGGCCCCTTTTATCTAATAGAGCTCAATCAATATAATTTCCCAATTTTACATTTAATCCGATTTTAAAATATTTAAGCCTAAATTCAAGCCTATATTTAAGCCTAAATAAAATTAAAACTTAAGAATAAATCTGCAAGTTAACATATGCGCCATATATTTATAAATGCCAGTTTTAATAAGGAGAAGCAGTCATATTTACATGGTAGTGAGATATAGCAATGAAATTGCAGGGTATAGAGGTATATACCTTAGTCCTCAGGAATGGAAATTCATGGAGGGTTTTTAATAGGTGATTATGAAATAGTAATCCCGCCTGCGCTATCGGTATACTCTGACGGAGCGCCAGTGAGAGGTGATAGGTGAGGATGAAAAGATAGGTCAGTTAGCACATCATGACGCGTACATTTGGAATTCAGCACGATGGTTTTCAGGGAGGACCATGTAGAGGTCGACCTGGCTGGCTTAATTGTTAGTAATGGGGTCCTTAATCTCCATTATTAAAAATTCCCCCTTCGCAGCGCATGGGGGTATTGTGGGTGATAAAGTATACTCCATTATGTCGAAAGTACTTTCCATCAGGTGGACCGTCAGCTTGTTTGCAATTCTAAGTTACATAAAAAAAGGTGTTAAAAAAAACTAATTCAAACGTAATCAATCTATTTTACATACTAGACTAGAACATTCCGAGTCCGACAATGTATTTTGACGTTCCACTAGAGTTGAAACCGTTTGAATGAATATTTACGATGTAGTATTTGAATAAAATTTACATTGACTGCAGATGAAGACAATGTTATTTACAGATATCAAAACGAATGCGCGTTTTATGCACTTTATTCTCAACGTAATGGATATGTATGTATTTACATGGTCGAATTTACTCCTGCGCGTAATTGGCTAGCAGAGATCTGTAGTAATGCAACATATTATTAATCTAAAAGGATGATAACAGTAATAACAATATCCTCAGTACAATTACTTATGTAAATATTTTTTTTAAATTACGTTACTTTTTTAAATAAAATAAAGCTTGCTAATAAGGTAAATGAATTTTTAAAACCAGTTAAGTATTTTTTAAGATTATCCATTAGATGGTAAAAGTTGAATTTTCCCTCTTTATAAAAATCCATTTTAATTTATCATTATCATGCCAGCATATAATGCATATTATAGCAGTTATTTATATACAGAGTGGAGTGGAAATCATTATCGCCCTTATAAGGGAGTGTTCTATTAGTGAAACTGAATTTTTTGTTTTTTTTTGCGGGTAAAATGTGAAGAAAACTTTTTATAGTAATACGTGCAGCTGTCAAAGTAAACACTATATATTTTATTATTATATTTATCCAACCCGTATAGTAATAAAATAGTAGATTACTGTTTTACTAAAAATATTGAGTCTGATACCTACAATTCTATTTAGGTTAGGTCCTTATTTCTATAGGCGACGGTTACCACTTTCCATCAGGTGGGCCGTCAGCTTGTTTGCCATTCTAAGTTGTATAAAAAAAATAAAGGTAGTCTTTAGCCACTAAAAAAATTTTACATAAAAATTATCAAAGAGATTCTTCTCCTTATTTGTAATGAATATATAAAAGTTTACCATATGTCACTGATTAAATGTTTGTAGTCCAATCATGCATAAAAAGCTGAATGGATTTTATTCCTATTTTTTTATTTATGTCATTTTGACACAGTTTGACAGGATTGTTTTTTGAATGAAAGTCTTTCAAAAATATATATCCTTTTCTAGCAATTTATTTATTTTGTATTTTTTATTACATAAAAAGAATAAAACTACTTACCAAGAAATATCATGGCAATTTATTCAACTTTAATATGATAGTAAGAAGAATAAGATATGGTCATTAATATATTTTTTCAAAGGTTTATTAATAAATTTAGTACAGATAATACTGTATTTGGAAAACAAACTTTTGGTATTATACGTAGTGGATATTAATATTATTGTGGCACTTTGTTGCTATCCATTAATTAATATAAAACAAGATCATTAACCAAAGTAATGACAGGAAAAGGAATTCACAAGCTAACTACTAAATAAAATAAATTTACAATTACTTTATAAGATAGCCGAATAAAAGAACTTAGTTTATACTCATTAAATTTATAACATAAAGCAGCTGAATACGTGTCAAAAATTACAAAAACTCAAACTGTCATTATTCAATGCGGAAACTGTGACCGGAGTTCGATGATATTCGAATCTTTCCGCGATAGGCTTACCAAGCAATTTCCTGGACTCGGGGAAGGCACATAAAACTTTTCTAATTTACCAGCAAAATCAACCGCGCCCGTAAAATTATTAGGCAACCATGTCATGAGAGTGTGTCTTTATAATATTTTAAAGTAGGTTGAATATTAAGTAGGCCTTTGACCAGCAGTGGGGTACTACGAGAAAAGGACGACGATGAAAAGGTTAAATACTTAATTGATCATATTTAACATCTCATACACTATATAATTATTAGTATTTTATTATATGAATAGTTATGTACTAAATTTCATAATATTTTTTTTTATAATAAATAGACAATAATAACTTAGAACAACATATATATCTGATCAATTGCAGCAGGAGCATAATCTATTCAAATAAAATTCTTCCACATTCATCAATCTTTTCTTACACGGCCGGTTACGGAAAGAAGGTCGACATTTATACAGCCACAAACAAACCAAGATAATATAGCATTTTTGTTATGATATAATATATAATTAAGTTATAATATATAAACATATATAGTGAATTATAATTAGACCAGATGTTATCAACATAGACAAAATACATAATAAAATCTTAGATTATATAGATATACTTACTAAATCCAATTTTGGTGGAAAGAAGAATTTATCCAGCCACAAACAGCGGAAGATAATATAGCAATGATATTATGGGAAAAGCTGGCACAGACAAACATAATAGTGAATTACAACAGACCAGATGTTATCAACATAGACAAAATACATAATAAAATCTTAGATTATATAGGTATACTTACTAGATAAAAGTGTTCCATCGAATTAGATTATGGAAAACACAAGCGATAGTAGAGTACTACTATTGTTTCTGTTTTTCATAATCTAGTAATATTGGTAATAATGGTGAGACCGACAGATGTAATAGCAAGTAGCTTGAATAGGTATTGTAAATAACTACATGAAAACATCAATATATGTAGATTACAGAAACAAGCAGCCATTTATTCTTCAAAACTTATAAGATTTTGCCAATTATGCACCACATCACCATAAATATACACATATATGTATATAGAGTCAAGAAACATAAAAGTAATATACATATAATGAACAATAGTATATATACAATGAGTCTGGCCCACTATACTGTATTCAGTTTGACCGAGTCTTCAGAAACAAACTTGGTTTCGCTAAGTCACATTAGAGTGTATGCCAGGTAATAAGAGTCGGCAATATGAGACATAAAGTATGGAGGACCACACATTGCACAATAGTAATAATAACAGAATAATAATAAAATTATAACCTGCAATCCATACAGACGTGCATCCCAGTCCGATAAGCTTAAATGCGGCAGAGGTTTCTCAAATGTCACAACAGACTGCATTGTTGATATCAAAATAATAATAGAAAAAAAAATAATAAATTTAGTGTTTCTTAAAATATTTACGTTGACATAATGAAAGTAGAGATGTCAATTTATAATTTTTAATATATATTTTCTTTTTTTAAATTGGCCAGTATTTCAAGAACGACTGATAACCGTAAACAAAGATCGAAAGACAAATAATGGAAGTTTTATAGGATTTTTTACACTTCAACTAACACAATAACGTAATCTTCATGGGTATATTCCTTTTTGAAAAAACGTGCAGTGCACTTGTAGTTCTTCCGGTTTTGTGGGTGCCCACTTACCATTAAGTGAGCGCAAGGGGCCCCCTTTTTTCAAAAAAAAAAACATTAAGTACCATTTATCGGGGTTACATGTAGTTAAAAATTATTTTAGATATTATTATGTATTTCTTGACATATTAATTTTGGACATTCACTTACAGACAAATACAGTAAAAGAATTTTCTTATCTCTTCAGAATTACATTTATTTTTTTAATAGTTTCAATTCAAAGAGCTTTGAAATTATTTCTTGGAAACGATTGCTTTTTAGAAAAATATTTTGTAACTGGAATAATTAGTTAAATATTACTGAAGTAAAAAGAAAATATTTTTTTCTGATTTCAGTCTGGAATATTTCTAAAATTCAACCTTTCATATACAATAATTAGGTTTATTATTAACTAATACTTACTCATATTTTCTTGAATTGATTCAATTCGAGCTGCGTTTTGTCCGGGTTACAAAAGTCTTAAAACAATATCACATATAACTGTACCTTTAAAAGAAAACGTACGGTCCTGATCCCGAATTCCCAAATAATGGGACAAAGGCAGTGCGATGATGACTCCACGTTTAGGCAAATAAAATCTCTGCACATTCAAGCGACGTTTGTCAACGACAAAATGCTCTAGTTTATTTTACGTGTTTCTCAGTTATAATTTCTTCCATTGTAGGTAGGTACAGTCGTCTAAAGCAGATTGGTTAAATTTTACCGCCCGATATAACTTTGTACTTCACGGAATGGGCCCCAGGCGTGTATGTTTCAAAGATTTTATGTACAGAGGAGAGTGATGTTCAGATGTGCACGGTACATGAGCCTGTAAACATTTATATAGTGACAGCTCGAAGTAAATTCTCTTGTAACGCGGTTATTTATCTGTCTATTATAATCACAGTAGGTATATCAAATGTAAACCGCTTTAAATTTCCCCAAATCTAACAAAATTGTGCTTATACCCTCGAGAGTAGACACTTTTTTGTTTAGTTTGCTTCAAAATGTGAGTTGGCGAAGAATGTGTATCTTCGATAGAGAATTCAATTAAGATAAATCGATCTATATTTATAAAATTGCCGTATGGTCCTGCATAGAATAGGCCACCCCTACCTTTCCCGTGGGTATCGTAAGAGGCGTCCATCTTAAAACATCACTAAAAGCTTAACTGCGGTTAACAACCCATCTGCCAAGCATAGCAACTATTATAACTCCCCTTATGGGGAAAGCCTATGTACAGCAGTGGACAGTAAACGGCTAACATGATGATGATGATAATGATATGTATAAAGATCAATTGTTTTGTCACGATGGGCTAACTGACCTACTTCATCACCTATCATTCTTCACTGGTGCCCCGTCGGTGTATTCCGATAGCGCGGGTGGGGTTACCATTCTATTATCATCCATTTAAAAAAAAACATGATGATGATGATGATATGTATAAAAATCAATTGTTTTGCGTTTGTATCGAAAAAACTACTTGATTTGCACATTTTTCATTTTATTCGTTATAATACGGGGGTGGTTAAAAAAAGTTGGAAACACTAAATTTCAGCTCCAAAATCGAAAAATTAAAAACCAATAATTTGATCACTACTTCGGATTAAATTTAATAGAATGCGTTATAGGTGATACGTAGTTCACCGGGTCATCTAGTTGTGTAAATAATTATATGTGTCCTACTTAACTATCTGACCCTGACATATATGTTATTATGTTTTTTTTCTTTTACATTGCCAATCTATATATTTCATAATCTATATAGTATATAATGATTCATGCTTTATTTATTCATTATTATTATTTTCGAAAAGTAGTCTGATATTTAAAAATAAGTTATAAGAGATGCATGAAAAAATAACTAGTTAGCTTGTATAGAAGAATTGGTTTTATTTATGTAATGGGTTGATTTTATTTATTGATCTTATCTGTCGCTTAATTTAGATATTTATCATATAGTCAGCTAATACTTATATAAAAACACTATGCTGAATTACACCAAATTTAGGTACTTTATATTATGTCCAACTTACTTAGGTGAAATTTTAAGGCAAGGACTTTCTAGCTGATTACGAAAGAATGTAATATTTTTCAAGTATAGATCTTAACAATAGAACTATCAAATGACGAAGATATAAAATAAATATAGTGTATTAACACTATATTAATATTATAAATGTAAAAGTTTATATGTTTGTATGTTACCTTGTTACGTTTAAATAATAGAGCCCGAATTAAATTTAGGACATAGTTGTATCATATTGTAGATTAATACTTTATGTATTAATTGACACGGGTAAAGCCGCGGGACTTGGTTAGTAACACAATAAGTAATTCAAGCACTTTATGAAATTCTTTATGCAATTTCGAACCTACTTGGCTTGTTGCAAACTTGTTAATATTGCAAGCAAACCGAGTAGTGTAACAATTTACCTTCTTAAGTTTTGCATCTGAGACGCGATAATATCATCTCAGATGCATAACTTAAGGCAACGTAGGCTAAAAGTTAGAATTTATTTCAGTATGTTTCCGAGTTACGTATTCTAGCGCTAAAGTGTGAAAATGATATTTACATGCAACGATAAAATTCTTTTAAATTGTTTTATAAAAAAAATTTACCTGTTTCATTATGAAGTATGTTTATCAAAGTTAATATTAGTATTCCCATTCGTGTTTCAACCGTGAAGCAGTTGTGTTTGCATGGCTGTGTTTCGGTTTGAAGGGTGGGATATGGCGTGAATTTACTGGGTACAGAGGAATAGCATCTGAGTCCTCAGGAATGGCAACGCATGGGGGTATTATGGGCGAAACAGTATACTCTGTTATGTCCATGGTACTGCTCATGTCTGTAGGCGACGGTTACCATTATCCATCAGGTGGGCCGTCAGCTTGTTTGTCATTCTAAGTTGTATAAAAAAAATAGTATACTATTTCCATATTTTATTCTTATGATATTATTTATTTATTCATTATACATATGTGTCTACATTTAATGATAAAAGCATAGTCAACCATAGGGAAGTGTCAGAATACTCTAGTAATTATTGATATACATACATACTAAATTTACATATATAAACGAATATATATATATATATATATATATATATATATATATATATATATATATATATATATATATATATATATATATAATATATTTACACATATATAAAATATACTATATTATACACGAAATTGAGAATAATATAAAGTACTTACTATATTGATGCCTGATCATTGTGTTATCATCATCATGTCAACCATTAACTGCCTACTTAGGAGCAGTCCTAAACCACCTGCATTCATTGACCCCCTGTTATGCATTTGAGGTCGTCCATCTTATAGTATGGTATATATTATAGGTTATGTCGGTCACGTTGGTTCTTTTGCTGATGATGGGGATAAAAAGATGTAGAGTAAGTATGCATATTACTCATCTAATTGATTAGTATAAGTATACCATTGTATATCTACACAAAATAGTCATGATTATTGGCATTTTGTGGAACTTTGTATCATCATCATATTAGACTTCAACCGTCCATTACTAAACATAAGCCTACCATTGGGGGAGGTTTGCCAGTAGTTAGCACGCTTGGCAGGCAGGTTGGTAACCGTAATTTGGTTTTTAGTGATGTTTTAATAGAGTCGTTGCTGCCAATCCCTCGACCATAAGCTCTCTTCGTCGCTTCTCATCACACCTACGTAAAAGGAAGGGGTGGCCTATTCTATGCCGGAATGTATATAGCGATATTTATGTATAGGTGTAGCTATAATATTACATATTTATATAAAATAGTCATGATTATTGGCACTTGGTAGAATTTTGTATACATATTGAAATTTAATAAACATATTTAATAAAAATAGTACAAACTCTTTCACAAAACATATTTCATAATAAATCGGTTTCGCCGTTTAATATATTTTCAAATTTATAATTTAGTAATTTTTATTGTATTTATCATAAAATATTTTTTATGGTACAAGTATTTTCTAATAATAACGATGGGATATCGAAAGTTGAAACCGCAATTACAGTTCGATAATATTCTGATTGTGGTTTTCGCTTCAGTGTAATTAATACATGGTAAATAACTCATACTAATGATATAAATGTTTTATTGTTAAATATACATAGTTTTGTTTATAAGTCCACATTTTAATGCAATAATTACCGGTTTATCTTATCTGTAATTTGATGGAAAATGTTTGACCAGTCATAGCCGTTCAAGACTATAGGATTCCCGGATGGTCCCGAAACTGTTATGTCCATGGTACTGCTCATGTCTATAGGCGACGGTTACCACTTTACAAAAGGTGGGCCGTCATAAAAACAAAAAAAACCAGTTGAGCTTTTACGACCAAATTACAACTATATTAAACCAGTAGTTATTAAATTAAAAATGTTTGTTTGTGTCTAAAGGGTTAATTACGGATTAGTAATATTCAAGTTAAATTTAAACATTCCTACACAAATTCAAACTATTGCGGTATAACTAACTGTATATGAAACTAACTTGTGACCTCTTTTTTATCTTCACCATCCCGGATGGTTTCCACGGTTTTATGAAAACGGTTTTATTAATACCATAATTGTTTTGTATTTTCAATGTCAATACTTAAAAACAAGGCCATTGTTACGTTCTCCTGTTTACAAAATAGCACAGCAAACAGGCTATCCACAAAATTACAGTAGATTGGCCTACTTTCCCTATTACGTTAAAGTTCATGGATGCCCACACCCCGAAATGCTTCGGCGTGCGTGACCATAAATCG